ACGTCACACGCAATTTTTTCCACTCTACGTAGCGTAGGTAGCCGAAGAGGAGATTAGAAATTCAATATGCTAAGAAAGTTCGCAAATTTTTCATGGCTCATATTGAAATACTGAAAAAAAATTAGTTCATCCTCAATTAAATATGGAAATAATGTGGATTTTTGCCAATATTGTGAACCTATAACTTTCGATTCTTTCTCGTGATTTCTTCTTCTATTAGCAAGGAGCTCATAATTATTTCTTGTTCGTTGTCATTTATTGTCGAGAAATATTAAAAAACACGCTGATCACCCCAGAGAGGACTCCGGAAGCGACTGATGAGAAATTCGATTGGCAAATACGGGTGTATTTGTAGTAGGGGCAAAAACCGAACGCGCCGCACGTGCCGCATTTTATTCGCTATTTTGTTTCTTTTTTCCCCTAATTCACTCGTATTTGCCAATCGAATTTCTCCTCATCAGTCGCTTCCGGAGTCCTGTCTGCGGTGATAAACGTATTTTTTTTAATATTTCTCGACAATAAATGACAACGAACAAGAAATAACTATGAGCTCATTGCTAATAGAAGAAGAAGAAATCACGAGAAAGAATCGAGAGTTATAGGTTCACAATATTGGCAAAAATCTTTGAATAAGAAGACTAAGGAAGGAGCATAATGCTATCCATGTATTCATGCATGGTGGGCGGAAAAGGCACCATAAAAGCTCTCTAGGGTGGGGATCCTTGACAGTTCTGTTTGACGATTCATTTGACACATTTGAATTTGATTTGAAATTTTGTGGATTTGTCAGTCTTTACGGAGCTTATTTTATGTTATTTATTATTTATTCTACTACTGATAGTTGTATAAAGGTAGTAAATCTAGATGGAAATTGTGGCAGAACTTAAATTAACAGTGACACTATCGCGATTTATCGAAAAAGACTCTAAAATAGTTGGTTGTGTAGCGTGCGGTAGATCTCGGCAAAAATTGAGTGAAATAATGAAACAACTTTTCGCTAGTAAGTGACTATATAATATACATACGTGTAGTAAACCGATCATTTATGAAATTCACTTAAATTAACTAAATTATATATTTTTCTTGCATTTTAGCTTTTATTTATTAGTTGTCAAAGATTAGATGTCAAAGAATTTAGATACGTTAATTTGACTTACCTGCTTCTGTAGCGTATCGGATGTTTGTGTTAATAAATACTTATTATAACTTATCTATTTTTATTAGAATTATATATTTTTATAACAATTTTAATAACTACCAACATTTATTCACAACGTCAAATAAAACAACAAATTATTGAGTCTACCCCACGTCTACTCTACATCATAGTTTTACAATTTTTAAATAAAATTAGAACGACACTGATAAACCGGAATTTAAGTCGGCCATATTTGAGGCCCATCGCGGTGTACCTAAGATTTTTGATATGCTCCTTCCTTAGTCTTCTTATTCAAAGGGCAAAAATCCACATTATTTCCATATTTAATTGAGGTTGAAAAATTGATGCCTCATGATATGAGCCATGAAAAATTTGCGAACTTTCTTAGCATATTAAATTTCTAATCTCCTCTTCGGCCATCTACGCTACGTAGAGTGAAAGAAATTGCGTGTGACGTCAGCAGCTCAAGCCGCATTTACCGAAAATCACTCTGGCCCAACAATGCTAGCCGCATTTTCGTCGATGCGATTCGTGCGGCTCTGGCTAGTGTGCGCACCTCTGCGCACCATCATTGAAAGTAACGCAAACAATATTTTTCTTCGGTCGATGCGGCGCGTGCGGCTCTGGTCAGTGTGCGCGTACCTTAAACCTTCATTCAGAACTTCGCAATTAGTGAAATAAATTAGTGGTTTCAATTAGCGTGGTCCTCTAATTTAAATGTAAGCATTCAGAATGTTAAAATTAGTGGTAGGAATTTTCAATTAGTGGAAAAAGTTAACAAACATTTGACTTTTCCACTAATTATACTTCAAAATTTGCGGAGAATGTCATTTGGGTCTTTGATTATCACTCGTCAAGAGAAAATGTTATAAACCAAAAGTTTATTGTTTTATAAGCTAAATCTTAGGCTTTCTCTAGGGCTACAACTGATTCCTAGACATTGTGAATGATCGTAAACTAAAAAGAATAAAGTGTAATTATTGAAACCACTAATTTATTCCACTAATTGCGAGGTTCTGAATGAAGCTTAAAACTTCATTTGATGCAAATTAAATGAGCTTACGAAAGTAATTATTGCTTTTTAAACTAAATTCTAAAAACCCTATATTTTTCTAGGATTATAAAAATATCGCAGAAACAATAATTCATCTAAAAATGTCTCTATAATAAAAAAAATTAATTAAAAAACAATCCATAATCTAATATTTTGTTTGTAAAAATATCGAATTTTTCACTGAAAGGGATTAGTGCAATATTTATCTCAATAGGAGGTTAGTGAGCTGTTAAAAATGCTAAAATTTGATATAAAATTATAAATTTACATTTCTAAATAATTCTTAAAAACAAAAAACAAATACGGAAATAACAGTTCAGAAATAACAAATAAATATGAGAATGTACAGATTTTTTTCACAGTAAAATGAAAAATAAATGTCTAAATATAATTATTTAAATAAATCTAGATTTACCAATAACACTAAATTTAAATAACTTCGAGGCAACGGCCTCAACACCGCTTTTCGAGAGATCACCGAAGCTAAGCGACGTTAGGCGATGCGAGTGGACGAACGGGAGACCGTCTGGAAACTCTGTGGTGCTGTTCGATAGCAAGGGTGTAAAATACATTGGTACACTGCGGTACACACTGTATATTTACGCCGGTTCCAGGCTAGATGAGATGGGATATCTCGCGAGTCGATTTAGACACTCGCCAAATCGGTAGGCCATTGGCAATGATGGCCGAGGACCGCGGTTTAGATTCCGCGTAAACAAAGTAGACCTCGTCCAGACTAGCCTTAGCAACAAAAACTTTCTTTACTTTTTATTCTTTTTAAACAACTTTTTAATTAAATTTTACTAGGTATTTTAAAAGGCTTATTTTGTAGTCTTTATATTTGTAGGAATCTATCCCATACAGCACATCAAATTACATTTACGATGTGTTTACATTATTAGATGTAGACACAGGGTGACACAATTCCCCCGATGTAAATATGCTACGTTTACACATTGTAGTTCAACACGTATGCACAAAGGTTAAACGTCCGCCTCACAATGTAGCCACAGTATAGCATTTACGTCTACACAAAGTAAGGGATACACAGTGTGCCGTAGGATACGCATTGCTTGTGTATTACATTTAAACTCTGTTTACACATTACAGTTGTGACTACTGCGTGTATACGTATGTATTTTGCTTCGTATATACATCTTGTGCTAGATAAAACTACTTTTTATGAACGAATTTAGGAAATAATACAAGTTTTGATGCCTAACTTTTCATTCTTTTTAAGAAATATTTATTCAATGATACCAATTACATATTTTCAAGAGAAGTAGCCTTAAAATTGTTCCATTTTTGTTTTGTATTAAATGTACCATTTTTTTTTCATAAAATGGATTAAGTGGTTAAAAATAAAATTCTTATTTTTCTTTATATCATGGAACGCAATAGCGCAAATAACATAATAATAATAGTTATTTACATTGCAGAAACCAGAAGTAAGAAAACACTGTAAAAGAATAGAATTTGTATCAAAATGTATTAAAAATATAAGTACCTAGTATAACAACATACTAAAATGGTAAACACTGGTATATCGCCACGATTTGGTGGACCTCATTTAGTCTTTTTTTTCTCTTCTTTTCCCTCCAAAGTTGGTTTGTTAGCATACTCATTCATCGAGATTAACAATCTCAGATTGCCAATCTCACCCTTAAATTTTATATGAAACTGATTATTGAATATTAAACATACCTGTATATTGATCCATCAATAACTTACCGAATATCAGTGTAAGAAGTTCTTTGAAGTATTCCAAATTAAAAAAAAATATATTGCAGAGCTAACCTTTTTATCATTATACGAGAATATTTGGAGTTTTCATTCATTGGATTCAAAATTTGGTAAATTGGGTATCGAGTAAGAGAAGAGTCGCTGCTATAATATTAATACTCTTAGGAAGGTGTAACAAGGTAATTAAAAACTTGTGCTTACCTTAAAATCTCTTTTAAACTACACACAAACAGAACATTTATATAGAGCTTCTGAATGATAAAACAATAATGGCTGCTAACACATACCACTCCTAGAAAGGAGAAAGGAGAGAGAACACATAAGATACACTTGGTCGGTGTATCTACGTTGAGGCTATCCGCGCGCGCGCACACCTTCATTTCATGCTAGAATGTAGACACAACAGTACTATTACAAAGTGTCTATATAGAAATTTATATTATGTGTATACGTCACATTTTTACAAGGTGTGTACTATAGACACAACTATGATATGAAGTATTACACATACATATGACATATACATTGTATGTCCCATATATCGACGTTAGATTTCATCATTTTAATAATTATTTGTTACGTTACAAAAAACTCTTTAGAATCTTGAGTGCATATACGGTATACAACTAGTAAACACTGTATCACACAATTCTGTCAATATACATCTGCGTGTGTCTCATATGTATATGTTAGAACTAGATGAACACTTAGGTTCACTTTAACATATTTGGTTTCTCATGTGTCTCCCTTGTAGAAACGTAATTTCATTTGGACGTGCTGTATGGGATGTTACTTCTTTAAATAAATAAAAAGACTAATTAGCTGGTAAAAGTATTACAAATTTGAATTATTTTAATTTTCAATAATGTCAATAGGTCCATAGTTCGGGTTTCTACCATATATCCGATTTACATAATACTTTCTATTTAAACCAGACACTCTTCAAATAGGTATAATACTTTTTTCCGTTAATTTAAGTACTTGTTTATTTTCAATTAAGAAAAATTTATCATGAAAGATAATGCTAAAATCTCAAGTAGATATTATATAGATCCGTCAGTACAGCAAGATCATTAATTGGTACTGCTCTTCAGATATACAATGAAGCTTATATATTGTGTTGTTCTTGCTTACATTATTACAGTATGTAAGTACATCATATCCAGTGATTTTAAACATTTAAATTAAGTAAATTAAAAAATATATATTTATAGAATTTTAAATATTAATGTTAGTTAATTTATTTTTTTAAGTACAATATAACAATATGTTAAGAAGACAACGACTCTGAAATTGAATTATTGCAAATTCTGAAAAAAGATAAAAACTACTTACGTAGGGTTTTCCCGAAACTTTAGTAAAATTTCTTAACAAATTAAGTATGTAGATAACATTTATTATTTATAAGTATTTTTATATTGGATTTTATAGGAAGTGTTTGATATTTTATGGATGTTTTTTATTATATTACACACTATATTATTAAAAAATAAGTTTGTATAATACTTTACTTATGATCTGTTTCTATCGAAAACAATCTAACAGTTCTGCAGCATTTAGGCTTTATTGAATCCTTTAGGCTTTTTTTAGCTTTATTTTTTTCACTGGTTGTCCCATTTTTGCTATCCGTATTAGTATCTAATGACTTTATACATACATACATACATACTGCCATTACTCGCTGACGAGTATTTGACACGCATCAGAAGATGCTCACGCAAGGCGTTTTCTTTCATGAGCTTTTCTGTGACTAAAAAGCCCGATACGTGATGATATTTGTCTACCGCACTCGGGACATTCAAAAATCTAATTGCTTTGTTGCCTCTTAACTTTTTGGTTGTCGATGTTAACTAAGTTTATAATTCTTCTCCATTGAGTGCTATTGTGAGCTGTTTCTTCCCACTCATTCTGCATGTTAATCCCCTTTAAGTTTTCGTGGAAAATGTCCTTGTACCTTTTGAGTTGTCCACCTGGCCTCCTCTTACCGTCTACACGCTCACCGTAAAGTAGAGATTTTGGTATGCGGTTTTCTTGCTTTCTGCGTACGTGAACAGTCCATATTAGTCGGGATTTTGTAACTTCACTGAAAAAAAGGATCTCTCAGTCGAAATGAATATGACTTTGACCCAAAAGATTGGCGCTTTTCAATAGGGCCAAGAACGACGTTTCTTTACCCAAAGCATTAACTATCTTTTCATAAGCTTTAAAAAATTACTTTAGAGAATAGAAGAATCTATCTGTCCAAAGTATTTCACTCTTGACCCAAAATTAATATGCAAAGAAGTTCTTGCTACAAGAACAATAGTCTCTTTGATTCATGCAAAAATTCTTGATTGAAAAGGGACATTTCTTGATTAAAGAGACACTTTTCTTAAACCAATAGCGAATACCATTGACTCAACTAAAATTTATTTTGATCTAAGAGAAGTCTATACATCATATACAGGCATATTACGAGGTATATTATTTTCTGATAAATGTAGGATTTCCTAGTCTGTAGTAAGTAAAGTGATATTATTTTCCTCGATAGTAGGTAGTTATTTCTGCTTCTTCACTCCTTGGTATTTTTTGGGGTGGTTCATCACTCTACAAATTACAAAAAAAATGTTACATCACGATTAATCAAAGTCAAGCAAACAAATTATTAAAATTATAAGCTTTGGTCACATTTTGTTTTTTTTTTAATACGACGACTTGAAATTCTAAAATTTTTGTAATTATTTGCATAAAAAAATCGAACCTATATTCTTATTCTATCTATAGTCACGCATGCATTATCTATACAGGTGCATTAGGTAAATGTCTCTTACCTTCAGATATAGCAAATAAATGCTCTAATTTCCATTTTTTCAGAAACTCCTTTAAAGAATCCATATATCCTAAAATTTGTCCATAAAAAATGACAAATGCATGTTAATAACGATCACTAATTTGTTATACGATATGCGTTTAAAAAGCAAATTATGCAAAATTCCAAGTGGAAAATTCCAAGCAACAAAACCCATGCGTACTATGATGTGCGACCTATGAAATGCGACGTGAGACTGATGGGACTGCCGACTGATTGTATATACCGTCCATCGTCATCGTCTTTGCGTGTCGTTATTATTTTTCATCAAAAGAGTATTTAGCTATTGGAAAAATGGCCATGTTTCTTGAATGAAGTACTTCCTAGCGTATTTTTGTTTTATCTTAAAACAAAGTAACTTGCACTTGGTTGAATGAAAATAGATTCAGAAGAAATTTTCGAATTTTTCAAGAGAACAAGTTTTCTTGAGTTTTTCTTCAGGCAAAATATTTTCTTTCACGCTAAAATAAATTCTCTTGCCACTAATTTTTTTTTTCAAGAACGATGACGACTTTGGTTCAAGTCTATCTTTTTTATCAGTGTTCAATTTAAGTTAAGTATAACTTCAGTTTGACTTCAATACTCTAGCAGTTAACTTTATCAAGGACCGATACGTTTGAGACATGATGGAACCATTGAATTCTTAAGAGTTGTCTAAGGTATCTCTGTTGCAAATTTTTTAATGCATTCATGTGTCGGCGGTACGGCACCCAGGTTTCGCTCCCATATAATATGGTGGGGATTATTATTGCTCGGTACACTGCAAGTTTCGTTTTTGTCATGATTGTAGAAAACCCTGTCTTTTAATTTCCAGAATGCTCTTGAGGCGCTGCTAATCCCGTGCTGAATTTCAGACTCGATATTGGCCTTTTCCGAAATCAAACTGCCGAGGTAATTGAATTCCGCTACATATTCCAGTAGTTTTTCTCCGATTTTTATAGCATTGTTGTGATCTTCCGGGGGAGTGCACATGATGCCATTTTTTGAGTTTCTGACCATTGGGCTTTCCACCATCTGGGGATTAAACCTAGTAGTCTTGGTTTATCAATAAATATATTTGCTACTTAGCTACAATCGGTCTCAAAATAGCATTGCGTTAGATAAAGATATAGTTTTAATTAGCAATGGGAACTATCGAATGAATTAGACTATCGAATGATTACTGAATGAATGATTTCAACTATCGAATGGTTTCATTCGATTAAAATCATTCATTCATTTGTATACTAAAGCATATGTGACAATCTCGCCGTGCGACTAAATGATTATCGTTAAGCCACGACTATCGAATGCTTTTTATAAATGAAATTTAGTATTCGTTTGATTTTTGTCTGTGTCAGTGCATTATTAGTCCTTCCAAATTTTTATAACTTGCCTTCTAAATACTGTGCTATTTTTGCGTTTATTAAAATATTTAAAATACTAAAGTAGTAGTGTTTTTTTTTTAAATTGATGATTGTGTACGTGTGCAGGCGGTCAACATTTTTCCGAAAATTTGTGTGATTTTCCGATCTTTCAGTTATTTAATTTTATACGGTATATGGTCTATTTTTTTTAATGGGAAATTTTGAGAAGTAACAATTTTTAAGAGAGATGAGGTGAACTTACAATTAATTTTAAAAATACATATGTATTTGTATTTTAGATGTTTTAGTAATATGAATTAGTTGAACTTAATAATCATATTTAAGTAATGTGGTAATGTGGTTAAGTAAATTGTTATCGAACTCAAATTTTGGGATGGGAAAATTAAATTGATTGATCAAAGTTTTACACGTGCCAATTTAAAAAAAAGTTAACGATATTTGTATTTTGTTTATGCTAATTCTCTTACATGTAGATTTTTACGAAGAAATATTTTATTTATTTTTTAAAGTAAATGCCAGTAAAAGCAAATATTATTTTTAAATACTAATACAAAGTAATAAAAAGTGATACACATATATAATTATTTTGATTTCTAATTTTTTATTTATATTTTTCTTCTATTACACTGCATGCTTAGAAAATTAATAAATATTTATATTTCATGATTTTAAAATTTGTTGTTAATATAACAAATTAGTTCTGTAATTATTATTATTTAATAAACCAACGTTGCCACACAAAAAATTTAGAGACTATATTATTTTTAAATAGGATCTAATATAAATAATTTGGACTTCTAATTTGTTGTTTATATTTTGCTACTACTTAAAAAAATGTTTATATTAAATGATTTTAAATTTTGGTGTTAATAGGTACCGTAATGATCGAAAAAAAACGGCTTCCAGTTGGCTGGGAAATGAACATCAATGACATTTCCCATATAAATTTACATATAAAATGACAGCGATCTTCATTCCATAGCCATCGCTGACGCCGTTTTTTCTCGATCATACGGCATAACAAATTATTACTGTTATTATTTATTAAACCAGTTTTGCTTTTTTAAAAACATTAAAAATCATTTTCCTACATCCAAAATAAAAAGTATTATTGCAGTGTAACAACAGAATATTAATAAAAAAATGCAAAATATAATCCTAACTAACTATAATACTAAAGAATAACATTCTTTGCTAATACCAACTAATACGAATATACGGCAACAGCGCCGTTCATAATGTATTTTCTGTGTAAATACTAGCACCTCAATAAAAAAAATAATGTGTCCTTATCTTTATCTGACTCAAAATCAAAGATGCCGGCTTTTTTCATATCATTGCCACCGACCGCTGTCGGGTTCCTAGGAAAGAAACCTACGTCGCCGGGCGACGACTAAAATCCAGTTTATATTTTATTATAATCGATCCTGACGAATAAATGAATTTTACAAATGAATGAATTTTATAAATGAATGGTTTTTGCTGCCGAATTAATATATTTCAAGGCAGATGACGCATCTATTCGATATTTTTATTCGAATAGTTTTCGACGAATGTTTTCTTACTAGCTATCGAATTATTCGAATGAATTGCAACTATCGAATGTTTCGATAGTATTCATTCGATAGTTCCCACTACTAGTTTTAATTGTTTTTTTAACATAGGTCATGGCTATCCAAACAGTATTATAAAGTCGAGTACAAGACATATTCTCCGTATAATCGGGGGAGATCCAGCGGATATCAAAGATTATCCTTATCAGGTTTTACTGATGATAGATGGTGAAGCCAAATGTGGAGGCTCGATTCTGACCGAGAGTTTCATTTTGACTGCAGCGCATTGCGTTTATGAGTAAGTTATACATCAAACTAAAATGATATTGAATTAAGATATAGCACTAAAGTATAGTTTGTTGTTTTTTCTGATCAATCTAATCTAACAAATCCAGTCTGCAGATTTGGCTTGTGACAGGTTTGGTCCATCAAAGGCTTGGGCTGCTACAGGCATGGCCCCACAAACTCAAAATTTTTATCCGCAGGCCAAATCCCCAGACCAAATCTGCTGTATGGGGGCTATTAGATTAATAATAAATTTATAATCTTAATATTTTACAGTGTTAGAGCCAGTCAATTGAGTATTAGAGCAGGTTCCAGTTACAGATCTTCAGGGGGACAAGTTGTTACAGTAGCAGCTTTAACCTACCATGATTATTTTGATTCTGATACATATGACTACGATATAGCCATCCTAAAACTTAGTCGACCTTTGGTAAGTATAATAAGACAAATAAAATATAATAATGTTAAAACTCATTTATTAACATCATTATATTATTAACATATCATTTATTAGAAATTTAAAATATAGTCGTATCTATATACAGGGTCCGGCAATAGTGCGTCGGGCATCTGTAGCTCCTAGAATAAAAAACTTGAGAATTTTGTTTAAAGTGCGAACCTAAAGTATGTGCCAGGATGTATTTCAAGAAAATATTTTAACTTCTATAGGGTGGCTCAAAAGAGTGTGAGTGGACCTTGATGATTTTTTTTAAATGGAATACCCTGTATATTATTGCACTTTTGGCTTCCTTTCAGATCACTTTACATAACCCTAAGATATGAATAAATATATTTTGATAGTTTCAGAGATATTAAAAAATAAATAAAAAGTATGTATTTTTCAGCCCTTCTTAAAAAAATTATTAAAAATACAAGAACTGTCCTAAACTCAAAACTATATTAGATATTTACTTTAGATGGTCTGCACTTACTTTGCTATAAATATGAAAATCGTAAATTATACAGAATGTTCAAAATTCTGCGCCAAACTTTCTAAAATATAAAATAATTTTTCCTCGTTTTTTTAAATGGAACACCCTGTATATTATTTTTTCAGTAGACGGAGAATTAAAAAATTAACATTTTTTGTATTTAGAGTATTTCAAAATTTTTAAAGGTTTCGCAGATATTAGCGGTTTTATATTTCATATGGCATTTTCCACAGTAAATCAAAGCCACCCAACGATTTTTCTCTCGTATTTTACCATTGAAAGCGCCATATTAAATAATACTGCGCGTATCTGCGAAACCGTTCAAAATTTTGAAATACTCTAAATACAAAAAATGTTCATTTTTTAACTCTCCTTCTATAAAATAATATACAGGGTGTTCCATTTAAAATAACAAAGAAAAATTATTTTATATTTTAGAAAGTTTGGCGTAGAATATTGAACATCCTGTATGATATACGATTACCATATTTATAACAATGTAAGAACAGACTATCTAAAGTAAATACCTAATATAGTTTTGATTTCAGAACAGTTCTTGTATTTTTAATAATTTTTTTAAGAAGGGCTGAAAAATACATATTTTTTATTTATTTTTTAATATCTCTGAAACTATCGAAATATATTTATTCATATCTTAGGGTTATGTAAAGTGATCTGAAAGGAAGCCAAAAATGCAATTATATACAGGGTGTTCCATTTAAAAAAATCATCCAGGTCCACTCATACTTTTTTGAGCCACCCTATAGAAGTTAAAATATTTTCCTGAAATACATCCTGGTACATACTTTAGGTTTGCACTTAAACAAAATTCTCAAGTTTTTTATTCTAGGAGCTACAGATGCCTGACGCACTATTGCCGAACCCTGTAGAGTTACTCTGTCATAATTTACTCTAAAGTATAAGATTAGAGATTTTTGACTTCATTTTTTTTATTTATGTTAAAGACTTTGGGAGTTGGTGTGGCTATAGTCCAACTACCTGCAACCACAGATGATATTATTGCAGGAGAAGAAGCTAGTGCGACCGGCTGGGGCTTGACAGATTCAAATGGAACTACCCTTCCAGAACAATTACGGGTAAGTTAAGACATTACAAATATTTCCTATGCAACTGTTAATACAGTTTGATTTTTTTATTACTACAGATTTCTAAGAAAGTATTCTTTTACTCTAACAAATGAAATAAGTCTTTTATTCCTCGCAGATCAATATTTTTTTATTGTTTGTCCTTAGTGCGAGAAATTAATATTTATTTAAATCAATTTTTGATAGTAAATGTAAAACATAATGATATTCTCATATTCCACTTAAAAAATAAAAGAAAGTCAGGCATAAAAACGAAATATATTTAATCATTTAAAATTATTTATTTCTAAGCTATTTTTTTTTAATATTTTAGGTTGTAGTGTTGCCTCAAATAACCACTCAAACATGCAAGAACTATTACGGCTCGTATATAACAGACACTATGTTTTGTGCTGGATACAAAACCGGTGGAAAAGACACTTGTTTGGTAGGATTCAAAAAAATAAAATATAAGTATACCAGAAAGCATGTTTTATTTTTATATTTTTAGGGTGATTCTGGAGGTCCAATTGTAGTGGATGGTTATGTAATCGGCATTACTAGCTGGGGATCTGAAAATTGTGCAGAATCTGGAAAACCCGGAGTGTTTACCAAAGTATCTTTCTTTAGAGATTATATCGATAAAATTGTAGCTGCAGGAGTAGACAAAAAGAGTTAATAAAATTTACATGTTTATCATCTCTTCCTTTTCTTCTTCGAGTACCATCTCCTAACGGAGGTTGCCTATCATTTTTCTTTGCGGCTACTCTAAATAATCCATTCGATGTCATTCCATACCACTCTCGGTGGTTCTTCAGCAAGGGTGTTCTTATTTACCCTGTATAGCCCGATATTTAATATTTTTTGATATACCCTGTATAGCCTGATATTTAATGATGATTTAATTACAATAGCCATTGAATGTTAAACCAAATTAAAATTTGACCCAAAAAGTTATACTGGGCGAGACAAAATTAATATGGAACATTGGTTACTTTTAAAAGCATATGCTTTAAATGGAACACCTAGTATATTATTTTGGTATTTAATGGGAAATTCTTCAAAATATTATTAAGGGTGCCTACCCCTCAGACAAAGATTCTCCTAAATATTTTAATTTTTATGATTTTGCGTCAATAGATCTTTATTATTTGAAAGTAATGTAGAGTAAAATACTCAGCGGTAATGAAAAGACTAAGAACACGTTTACAACATATTTTAATTATTACAGAATTAAAACTAGATATAGATCTATAATTATGTGACAGAAATCACATAGACGAAATTAAATGCTCAAAATTTTCAAAAGATCTTTTCATTTTTTTCAAGCAGCTACAATTATTTCTCTCATGCTGTCGACAATAATTGGTCAAGTTTTGTAAACACTGTCTTTAACATATCCCCATAAAAAAAACAAGACTATATAAAATCAAGAGCAGTTATACGTATTTTATTAGCAGAGTGCATTCACCAACTAACAGAATCATATGAATTCTTTCTGGTGTAGGATAAGTTTGCATTTACGGCAAATTTGTGAGATTTTTTTTCCTTTTAACTGACATAAAATGTCAGCGTTTTAATCAGAGTAAAATTAGACAGCTACATTGAAGTAACGTCAGACATATCACAGCTACTTATGTAGATTTCATCAAATAATAAAGATCCACTGGCACTAAATCATAAAAATAAAAATATCTAGAAAAATCTTTGTTTGAGGGGTAGGCAACCTTAATAATATTTTGAAGAAACATGAATTCCCCATTATTGGACTAATATACTGGGTGTTCCATTTAAAATAAAACAGTAACTTGTTTTTATACGTGATCAATGTTCAAAATTAATTTTGTCTCACCCTGTATAACTTTTTGGGTCAAGTTTTAATTTGATTTAAAGTACAATAGTTATTTTAACTACATATTAGGCTAGACTGGGTAAATTCCAATTTAGGTAGCTTTAATTGTAATTTAAAAATTATTCTTTATTTTTGGAAAATGATAAAATATATCAAAAACCTTGCATTTTATTCATATTTATAATAAAACTCACCTCTATTTTTCTCCCAGAATCCGAAATTCAATTAATATATAGGGTGTTCCATTACAAAAAACACAACTTTGATATGTATCTTTTCTGCGGGACACCCTGTAGAACTCTCTATATTTTTAAAAAGTGCTCTGAATTAACCTACATATGCTCACAAAATTTTATTTCAATACGAACTGTCGTTTTCCCCGGAGTCTCCACGACGAATGAGAGGCGCCACCCTGTATTGCAGGGCCGGATCTACCTACGGGCTGTTTGGGCTGCAGCCCAGGGCCTCGAGGTTACAAGGGGCCCCCAGGCCCCGCGAAAAACAATAGACCCATAGATGGGAACTGTTGAATCGTGAAATAAAATTAAAATTCAGATTAAAAGTTTAAGCCAGACAAGATGGCCTTGCCACTATGATGCTGTCAAAGCCTTAAAAAATAATTATGATGACATTATGAAAATGTTCCAAAGTTTCAGCGAAAATGAGGTTGAGAAAGTTGATTTCCTTAAAGAGGCACGAAATTTATTCAATAAAATGGTGAAACTCGAGACTGCAATTTTGATTATCTTTTGGGAAGAAGTTTTGGAGAGATTTCATTTAGTTAATAAAAAAATACAGAGCCCTGGTTTAGACATTTGTGAAGGCAACAAGTTAATTGTTTCTTTAAAAGACTTTGTGAGCAACATACGGCATCAGTCAGATCAAATGTTACAGGAATACGACGAAAAAGCTAAAAAATTAAGTACTAGTGTAATAATAGACTACAATTACATAAACAAGAGACGCATTATCCCAAAATTTTCAGATAAGTCTACAGGTGAATTCTCAGTATACGGCACAGAAAGATTTAAAGAGACACGTTAAAAGTTGCGTTGGATAAGCTGATTATGGATTTAAATAAAAGGAGACAAGTCTATGAGACATATAGCAAGAAATTCAAATTTTTAATGGATTTGCAAGACAAAAATATCGAAAACATAGATTTGGAAATTACACTTCATATTATTGATTACAATCCCGATGACGTAGACGAGCATTTAGTGAATGAGTGCATTCAATTAAAATCATACTTACTCCAATCTATGTCTGAGTCTTACACCTCTTGCAGTGACATTTTTATGCTCATGTATGAAAATAAACTTATTAACGTGTTCCCTAACTGCTATACCATTTTAAAGATTTTTTTAACATTGCCAATCACTAGCTGTAAAGCAGAACGCTCCTTCTCCAAGATGTCCTATGTAGAAAATAAATATAGGACAACAATGTCTAACCATCGACTAAATAGTTTATCACTTCTTTCCATAAATTGTGATCTAACTAAAGACTTGGAATGTGATGACCAAATAACTGTCAATTTCTGTGACTACTACCTATCAATTTATTTTACTAATTCATAATAAGTAAATAAATAAAATTGTTTTATTGTTTTTTTATATTCTTATAAAATATCACTATTTCGGTTTCTCTCTCACCCAAAGTTTGCCTGGAAGAGATTGCTACCACAGCAATAAGGTCGCCTTTTGTACAACTAATACTTGCGTAGATTTAAGTAACATTTATGTTACTTAAATCCACATATCACAATACCGAAGTCTACAGCAGAATAGGCAGAGAAAGAGAATTGCTCAATATAATAAAAATAAGAAAAACATCATACTTAGGGCATATATTGAGAAATGAAAATACCACGTCTTACAATTGATAGTTAAGGGTAAGATTGAAGGAAAGAGAGGTCTCGGCAGGAAGAAACTATCTTGGTTGAGAAACATCAGAAACTGGACTCACCTAACTTTTGAAGAACTTATAAGGAAAGCCGAGAATCGTGAAGATTTTGCCAATGTGATCGCCAACCTCCACGAAAGAGACGGCACGTAAAGAAGAATAATAATATATCATTATAGAAACAGTTTTTTGATATGGCTATTAGTTGAGTACTTATGTAAGCCCCTAAGTAGTTTCAGCCCAGGGCCCCACAAATTCACGATCCGCCCCTGCTGTATTGTATTTTTTAGCAAATTAAAGATTTGTTTTAAGTTTTCTGTTCGAATGGCAATATACCCTGAGTTTCAAATAATTTTAAATATTAGTGTAGATACCAGTCCTTCAGAGACATTGAAGATCATGGAAAACATTGATTGTTCCTTTATACCAAATTGCCATAATATAATAATAAAACATAAACATTTGTACTTTTTGATTCTCATTCTTAGGTTTCTAAATATATCAAACTTTTCAGTGGCGAAAAAATATTAATAACACCAAATTGAATAAATATAATATATATATTGGAAGGGACATGAAAGGAAATAAGACAAATAATAAACAACAACTGATCTGCTGTATACGTACATATAAGTACATTACACTAATCTAATTTCAGATAGAATCAGTACACTGATAATTTATTTCTTACAATTTTAACATTAACGTCATATTTATTTCATAATTTGACAAAATATACTTGATTACAATATATACTTTTATAATATAGCTTAAAACATCTGTAGTTATATATATTTTATTCTTTAAAATCTTATATATGCTTAAGTACTAAAGTCAACGAAAATTTCGGAAAAATCAAACACAGCTTTCGACTCCGTTCGATTTTTCGAGTTCTATTTCTCCAAAACGGTCTCTCTAGTTCGAAACCAGAAAAAAAATCAGTCTGGATGTTTTGTATATAAGCGTTCCGACAGTACAGCATGTGTATTTAAGGAGGCTGGATACATTAAACTCATGCTGTACCGTGTAAAACAAAACTTTGTGTGGAAATGGTTTAAACGGGTGCTGCAAATTAGGCTCGTTCACGAAAAAATTAGGCTCATTCTTTATAATAAAATGGCTTGAAACAGGTCCTATCCCGACGAAATTAGAATTGTTTCAAGCCAGACACAATTCTACACCAGTCAAAATTTGTATGGTGTAAAATCGATACTCTAAAATAACCATGAAATTTTTAGAATAATTGTTCTCATTCCTTTAAGATCCAATAAGCTTGACAAAGTCATATTTCCCTAAATACCTAACATAAATATTAGAAAACATTGAATAAATACTAAATTGATTTAACACATGTATAAAGGTATTATATATCAGATAAATAAGAACATCGAGTTAGCTTACGGATAAGCAATAGTACCCAGGGACGATAGATAAGTATTCTAGGTAAAAATAGGTCACATTTTAGGCAAAAGTGTAAAGACAGGGAAGAAACAACGTAAAACTCTCTATCATCTTTACATCTGTCACCGAGGGCACTTTTTTAAGTATATTTCTAAATTCATTCTTTTCATTTTATTTCTATTACAATATACCAGTTTTATACTAAAAAAAAAACAATAAAATACAGGGTGAACCAACAGCCTTCCGAAAAAGCCTCTTTGCTTCGAAATTTTTACTCCACATTTTAAAAATAATTATATCAATATATACAAGGCGATTAAAACATACATTTCTACAAACCTTATACAGGGTGGCGCACCTCATTCGCCTCATACGAAAACGGAAAGATGTAGAAACAAAATATTTTATGGATATATGTAGGAAGGCAATGTGCACAGTTCACAATTATTTTGAAATGTACAGGGTGTGTCAGAACTAAGATCCATACAAAAGTTATATTTTTTTATGGAACACCCTTTATTTAATTTCATTTTATGATTCTTGGGCGTAAAATAAAGCATTTGTTATAAGAGTTTAGTTTAATATGTTTAAAAGCTTTGGTTTTTAAGATATTTAAAGATATTTAGAAAAAATAAATAAATAAAAAAAGTTTATCAACAGCCTGTACATTACTTTTCAGAATTAATTCTTGTGCTAACTTTTAAGCCACTAAACTTAAACTTTACGAAAAAAATTGATTGCTTTCTTTAATGTATACAGGAGTATCATAAATTGCTGGTCTATTCTACATATTAATTTTACACAAAAACTTCGTTATTTCAAATACACTATGTATTATTTTAAATAAGGGAAACAGATTTAAATGCTTTTTCAAACTATATTGGGGTTTCCTATACCTATCTGGCTCAGATTTTGAATAATAACCGATTTTTCAATGAAATGGCAATCAAGATGGCTGGCGTCGCCATGGCAATTTTTAGTGACACTCAGTAGCTATTTTCAAAATCGACAATAGTTTATGGACTTTATTTAAATTTATAACAGCTTATTTTTATTTAATTTACCTACAATAAGGTTAATAAGTCAGGATTTATTATTTTATCATAAACCATTCAAAATCTAAGCCAAATAGGTATAGGAAAGCCTAATATAGTTTGAAAGAACATTTAAATCTGCTTCGACTTATTTAAAAAAATACAGAGTGTTCTATTTGAATTAACGAAGTTTTTATGTAAAATAAATATTTAAAATAGACCAGCGACTTTTGATACCCCTGTATACATTGAAGGAAGTAATCAAAGTAGTATTTTAGTAAAGTTTATTTCGCTGGCTTCAAAGTCAGCACAAGAATTAATTCTTAAAAGTAATGTACAGGGTGTTGACAAACTATTTTCTTATAGCATGCATCTTTAAATATCTCAAAAACCAAAGCTTTTTTAAACCCTTATAATAAATGCTTTATTTTATGCCCAAGAATCCAAAAATGAAATAAAATACCGGGTGTTTTATAAGAAAAAATATAACTCTGGAATGGATCTTAGTTCTGACACACTCCACAATTGAAAATAATTTTAAATTATGCATATATTGCCTCTCTACATATACCCATAAAAAAATTGTTTCTGCATCTTTCCGGTTTCGTATAATTAACCGAGGCGAATGAGGTGCGCCACCCTGTATATTTTTAAGTGGAACGATATATTTTTATGCTCAGTGAATTTGTCATTAGATTCCCGTTCCAGAAATACCATAATGTCGTAGTCTATACCGAATGATAATAAAATATAACATTTATGGATCTACATTTGTCCCACTTTACGCTCTCTAAAAATTACTACTTTTTAACCGAGAGTACTGTATAATAGTGTCTTCTTCAAAACGTAGTCTACTAAAATTTGCAATGTAATATTTGATATATACGGGGAGTGTCACAACTAAACTTTTATTTTACTTCAGTATTTCAAACGGAACAACCTGTATGTTGTATCATAAACGAACGGAGTTTTAGTTAATAGTTTTTTTATATTAAGTAGTTCTTATAACTAAAATAGATAACTTTCGCTCTTTTTAATAGTAGGCGTTTGTCATTAATGACAATTGACATATTTATATGCCAGAGCGTAGAATACTTACATCTGAATTTTTTTTATTTTTATGATTCGTAATTCAATAATGAATTTTTCACTTGATTAATTCAGTGTATCCATTTTTTATAAAAAAATAACTTATTAAAACATAAAATTGGATAAAAACTATTTCTGTCACAGAATACAGAGTGTTCTATTTGAAATGGTGGAGAAAAATACAAAAACATCAAATTTTGACTCACCCAGTATATATCATGCCAACTGTTGTGTATTTTAGTACAAATAGTTTTGAGCAACTAGCATTCTATTTAAAGATATACAGCTTTAGTTTGTAGTGTTTTAGTAAATAAATGTCTCAATCACCCTCTATATTGACAACAATATTTTTAAAAATAATTGAAGTAAAAATGTCAAACCATAAACCAGATTTACAGTTTTCTCGGAATACTAGCTGGTAGCTGGCTCACCCTGTATATTCAATATGTTTTTTCAAAATTTAATAATAATTTCTTTATTACAATACCTGGTATACGTCTACGTTATACAAGATATTTTTCTTAGCAACAACAATTTGAACTCTCAAAATTGTATTTTATTAAATTCAATTTGGATATTCTCTTCTGTATTTGTACGAACCCCACATTGTTGCCTAAACTCTTTTTTTTCCTTAAATTAAAACAATGCTTTTCGTATACACGTTTAATCTCACAACCATATATCCAAAATGAACTTACTACGACCACAAAAAATAGTAGATATAAGTTTTCTTTCTCAATAATTATATGTAACTAACTTTTCGATTCGGGAAACCTGATAGATTCTACTAGATATGTAGATAAGAAGGTAGAACAGAAAATATTCTTGAAAAGGTACCATAAATGATATTTATACACAGTAATTTGAAATACACACATGGGGACTTATTAGAGAGTTCCAAAAATATAGAGCATTTCCCTCGAATGTATTGGGACTCTATAATAAAGAGCAGGCTCGGAATGGTAAGCTACCCTCAATAGGGTTTAGGAAAGGTATTGAGCGTTGCTTATTGTCAGAGCGCCAAGATTTCTGTCAGAAAAACGACTATGGATGTTCTCTGTCGATTCTGACTGTGCTATTTTTTATTTTTCCAATTTTTCCTGGCTACCTTGAGGCGCAGGTGATGGTTGAGGTGGTAGAGCTTTCAAAATAGCATGCACTTCTTCGGCTACGGCTGTCAAAACGAACTCAAACTGTTGTTTGGTCGCCACCTAAAAATATATTAAACATTTTTTATTTATGAAAGTACATAATAGAATATTTATTATTAACAATACAGGGGTTTCAAATTTGGATTGTCTTTACAAGAGGAAACATTTTTTATTATTGGCATTTTGAGTAAAAATGCAATTTTGCTTAAAAATTCTGCTTGTACTAAAATGGTTAATCCTGTTTATATTTTTCTAAATTTCCATACCGCCCACGTTATATTTTTTGCTGTTGTTAAAGTATCACATGAAATTGATCACGTGAAAATTAAAAAAATCATAAAAATATAGTTGAATTTTTACCTAAAGTCCTAAAAATCAAAACGCATTTTTATGGTAATTGAATTTCATTTTCATATATTTCCATTCATTTCTATTTCTCTAAAGAGTGTGTATTGGCCGATTTTTTCCAAAGCCTGTCATTTTTGACATATGACACAAACATATTATGTTTTTTGAAATGGAAACTACAGTGCCCATGACTTGATAAAAAGCGCAATTTTTTAAGCTTTTCAGCGATATAAGCTATAATATGTTTTTTTTTCACAAAATTACTGAGTATTATAGCCAATTCTTATCTTTCTTGACTAATTTCACTCAGTTGGCATGGAGTTGTTATTTTGTTATGATTTTTAACTTATAAAAAGACAAAATATGTTATTAAACGGCTCTTTACAATTTACATTACACAAACTAAAACTTAAAAAAATCATATCACTACGTACACTTTAAGTTATTTTAGAAAATGTTCAAAAAATCCGCCATTGTTTTGAATACATAAATGCATCTTTTTAAAAATGAATTTCTAGCTATTCTCACAGAACGACCGGTCGACTTAATTAAACTTCTCCTGTATCGTCTCTTCGAGTGCCTCTCTTAATTCATAAGTTCTTTTGTTGAACAAGAAAAGTTGAACCCATAATCCTACACGCTTTTCTTCATTTGAAAAATTCATATTTAGAATTTTAATTTACAAAGTTTGTATGTGACAGTTTCATATTTTTAAAAGCAATGACGATTGAACTTGTTTCCATGACTAATTAAGTAAAATTAGTCAAGAAAGATAAGAATTGGATATAACTAAGTAATTTTGTGAAAAAATACATATTATAGTTTATATCACTGAAAAGCTTAAAAAGGGCGCTTCTTATGAAGTCATGGCCAACTATGGTTTCCATTAAAAAATACATATGTTTGTGTCATATGTCAAAAATTACAGGTTTTAGAAAAAATCGGAGAACACAAACTCATTAGGGATGTGATTATCTACACCTTTTATCTGAAAACTTTTTGTCTAAAATAGATTATAATGATATTAGGAACAATTTTTAAAATAGCCAAAATTTGTTTCTTTCGAAATATCTAGTAAGCCATGAACTTTTTCAAAAATCTGAAAGGCGCATATTTATGACCCCGACTCTCTATCTCCAGTAGTTTCCGAGATGCCCATAGAGAACATCGTAAGAAACTCACCCTGTATATATTCCAAAGTTATTTGTACTGGTTTGAAACTCTTATTTTATTTCTTCAGACGATGACAACAGAAGCAGTGCCTAAATTAAGTGCCCCAAACCAGTCCAATTGACTTTGGAAATACTATATGTTCGTTTTTTTGGAGTAAGTTTTTCTATATTATTGTCTGGAGTTACTAACCATTTTTGGTCTTTGGTCTCTCAGGTGTTCCAACGTAGCTGCTATATCAATCTCCTTGGCACCTTTGGCCATTCTACTCAAAACCATATCGATCAAGCAATATGTTCCTGTTCTACCTGCACCATCGCTGCAGTGGACCACAATAGGACACGATCTGCCTCGGTATGACTTATTGACTTTGCGTCTAAAATGAAGGTAATGATATTTACTTCTGCCTGAGAGAAAAACGCATTCCAATATACCTAAATTCCAACAGGGCTTTGGTTGAAGCTGGAACTCCAGCTTCTGGCCAAGACAAGAAGTGGAACTGGGTGACAGTCCTCGTCTCACCAGTTCGAACGTTCTTCAAATAGAATGACCTTACTAAGTAATCGTCACACCAGATATGCTCGCTAACTAGATGGACTTCATAGATATGGTACACTTCCGAACCTTTAAACAATAAAGAAATATAAACGAAGTCTTTTAGTATTCATAACTTTCTGAAAAGTTTTCAAGAAACAACATTTTTGTATTATCAATCAAAATGATAGCCAATGGTAAGCAATCAATAGAAGCAAATCTAGATACAGAGTGTTATAAAGTCTATCAATATACAGGGTCCGGCAATAGTGCGTCGGGCATTTGTAGTTTGTAGCTCCTGGAATAAAAAAACTTGAGAATTTTGTTATATAGGGTAGCTCAAAAAAGTGAGAGTGGATCGGGATGATTTTTTTATCACCTCTATAACTTTTTTATTTTTTCAGATCAAAAAACGAGATTTGGTATGTTAGTATATGACATAAATTAGGATTGATTGATGTATTCAATTGTTTTTGGTCACTTCCTGTTCCACCGGTAATGACTACAACTTTTGATTTTTAAATGGCACCCTCGGTATATTTTTACTTCATTCGATAGAAAATGACACTCTGAATAGAATGACATATCATATGTCAACTTTTGACATTTTCCCATATGGTTTAATAATTGAAATTGTTGAACACGACAATTTGACTCGAAATACCAAGTGTGTGGTACCAAATTATTCGTAAAAAAATGATTTTTCCAAATATGCTAATGAGCCACCATTGTTCAATTTGAAAAAATTGAGATATAATTAAAAATACGATTTGGACATCTTTAAACCGGCCAGGGCAAGACACAAAAAACATTAGATGATCAAATCTATTTTTCTAAGAATCCTTGATTCAAAATTAGTGTTTTAAACACATCCATGGCGCTCTAGATTAAAATTTAAAATATGATTTTTATAAACCGAAAATGTCAAAAGTTGACATATGATATGTCATTCTATTCAGAGTGTCATTTTCTATCGAATGAAGTAAAAATATACCGAGTCAATCAATCCTAATTTATGTCATATACTAACATACCAAATCTTTACTACGTTTTTTATCTAAAAAAATAAAAAAGTTATAGGGGTGAGCCACTTTTGAGACGCACCCGGTATATATTTTTTTGATTTATTAATATCTCTGAAACTATCGAAAGATATTTACTCATATCTTGGGATTATAAAAACACTAAATCACCACAATACACCAAAACACTTTTACTTTTACACTGGACGCGCGTTTCGCTAACCATGTTGGCATCATCAGCAGATAATTATAAACTAAAATACAATCTACAATTGGACCATAGATAATTTTATTTCTAAGTTAAATAATCGTTTGCCTTCCATTAAATTTACACATGAAATTAAGAACGACAGATTACCATTTCTAGATGTATTAGTTATTAGAAATACTAATAATTGCCTGGAATTTGATATCTATAGGAAAAAGACCACTGCACGCAGATATATTCCTAATGAATCATATCATAGTATTGAACATAAAATGGCTAGTTTAAATTTCTTAGTTCATAGATTACTTAGTTTTCCACTTTCCAACGAAAGATATAAAATAGAAAGAGATTACATTAGGAATGTAGCTGAGTGTAATGGATATTCTCCTTCACTAGTTGATAAAATAATTAGAAAACGTAGTTATAGGTTAATGATTTCTGAAAATTCGACTTTTCAAGTGGAGAAAGATACGTCAAAATATTTTTCAATACCGTTTGATAGACAGTTATCCCGTGGTCTAAAAGGAATTTTTAAGAATGTCAATTATAAACTTGTGTATAGTGCTAATAATAAATTACAACAATTATTAGGTAATCCAAAGGATAAAACACCTCTACTGGAAAGGTCGGGTATTTATGGAATTTCTTGTAAAGATTGTAATCAGAAATATGTTCGGCAAACTAGAAGATCAATATTAACTAGATTTAAAGAACATTTAGCCCAGATAAGATATAGTAGACAGGATAAATCTTGCGTTGCTGAACATATTGTTGATAAAGAACACTGTATAGATCTAAATAATTTAAAATTAATTAAACAAGTCTCAAATTACAGGCAATTAGATGCATATGAAAGCATCAGAATTAATAAATGTAAAGATAGTATGAACAGAGACAGCGGTTCAATTCCTTCAAGTTCTTTGTTCCTACTACTCTAGTGGCGGAAATCTAACTGTTACGCTCGGTGGCTAGATCTTGCCACGCCCACTCGAGTATATAAACGCTCAAATTGTAGATTGTAGTTTAGTTTTAATCATCTGCTGATGATGCTAACATGGTTAGTGAAACGCGCGTCCAGTGTAAAAGTAAAAGTGTTTTGATGTATTGTGGTGCTTTAGTGTTTTATTTTGCTTTCTTCCTACCTTCTTCTGGCCAATATCGATGGCACATTGCTGTACCGCCTTCGGTAAGCCTAGTTAGCATCACTATCACTACAGCTCCTTGTTCCCAAATCAGTTGCCAAAAATCAGGTGCCGTATGAGGTAAAGGACCTTGTGTCGCTATATAAGCAGGATTCCTAAAACATTCAAAATTAAAACAGCAATATCATCAACTAATTTATTATTAAAAAACTACCTTGGATCATGATCAGTAATACTCGAAGCATTAATATAATCTGCGCTGTTAGCATTCGACAACTCATTTAAGATAACTCGCGCATGGTCATAAGGAACTACTTCAGGATATCTGTTTTTCTCTACATTGTCTTTCCTCATAGCTATTGATGTTTCGCACGGTTCAGCCACGTAGGCACAAAGAGCTACCCATTCCTGGTCTAATCTATCCTTGTTCTTCAAATGGTCTTCCATGTAACTCAGCACCATATGACCTGTGGATATATCCATATTGTGTAATGCTGGTTCTTCAATCCAAGAGGATGTGCTCGATCTGCTCGATGGACTTTGTTCAGATTCACGAGACAAAGATGTTATTCTTCCTATTAAAGGAAATATACTTATTTTTATAAAAAAATTACCCAAATTTACTTGCCTTTATCAGGAGCACCGTCAGTGGTCTGTCCTTTAGTAGCCATCCTTGCCCTACACAGGTCTTGGTAATCCTTACTAGCTTCTGTATCAGGTCTGGATAAGCCTTGTAATTTTTCTTTATACTTGATGTGTCTTCGTATTAGAGAGAGAACGATAGTAGCTAGAATTAGAGCTACCAATACGCCGCAAACCAAGAAGATAACTATGTACTGGTTCTCGGTATTGATACGTTTGAAATAGACGTTTTGCATTCTTATCTAAAAATGAAAATAAAAATATACTGAGAGCATTTAAAAAAAAATAGAAGAAATATGACAAATTATTAAGAAAACAGTATTGGCCCAGTTTTTTGTAGGTAAAGGATTTTAACAGTCAATAAAAAAAATAAAAAACAATAATAGAAGCATATTTTTTTCCCAAATAAGTCCCATACCGGGTGCGTCTCAAAAGTGGCTTATCCCTATAACTTTTTATTTTTTCAGTTAAAAAACGAGATTTGGTATGTTAGTATATGACATAAATTAGGATTGATTGACGTATTCAATTGTTTTCGGTCACATCCTGTTTCACCGGAAATGACTACAACTTCTATTTTATTCGATGGAAAATAACACTTTGAATAGAATGACATATTACATGTCAACTTTTGACATTTTCGCATATGGTTTATTTGAAATTATAACTAAATTAAATACCAGGTGTGTGGTATCAAATTATTCGTAAAAAAGTGCTTTTTCCAAATATGCTAATGAGCTACCCTCGTTCTATTTGAAAAAATTCTTAAAAATACGACTTGTACATTTTCAAACTGGCCAGGATAAGACACTAAAAACATTGGACGATCAAATCTATTTTTCCAAGGCTCCTTGATAAAGAATTAGTGTTTTTAACATAGCCATAGAGGAGGTAAAAATTTGACATATATGTCATTCTATTGAGAATGTCATTTAATACCGAGAGTGCCAATTAAAAATCAAATGTTACCAAATCTCGTTTTTTAACTGAAAAATTAAAAAGTTATAGGGGTGAGCCACTTTTGAGACGCCCCCGGTAAACTTTATTTCAAAAATATAGAAATTTGAAATTAAGAAAAGGTAAGTTAAACTTTTAAATAACCCAATATCTGGATATAAGTAGTAGTCTGTATCATTAATTTTATTAAGTAGCAGTCTGTATCATTAATTTAATAACATAAATTTAAACTATTGTAAAAAAAAGTAATAGATTCTAAAATACAATTTCCATGTCATAAACATTTATGGTCCATTGTTTGTTCCTTCATGCAATGAGTTTTTCTATCAACTCTTGAAGACCTACCCAAGAAAGTAGACGACCTTAAATAGATATTTAAATATTATACATACTTTATTTCCTACACCTGCTGATATAACTTCTACACCAGTTAAATTTTCCAGATCTTCTTTAATCAGTTCTAAAACAATTCGTAAACTGTCTATACTAAGTTGATATAACATTTCTAACAAACAACATCCAAAAAACGCAACAAGAGCAATAAAATCCTTATTCAAGTAACACAGAAACTACAAATTCGGGGTAGGAGCATTGGTATCTCGAAAACCATAATAGATACGAAGATAGTTAAATTGGGACAAAGTTGCTCCTTGGGATGTTCACCAAGATGCCATCAAAAACGTTTTAAAAATTTCAAGGATTGCTGAGTTTTTTGGAAAAAACTGATTTTTTTGGAAAATCAAGTTTATTTTTTCCTGTCGTTACTTTTTAGAAAATCAAAAATATAATTGCACATTATCATAGCCACTTTATTAGGGTTATCTGATAGTATTTTTAGATTTTCAAATTAGCTGATAATTTGTGAGATACAGAGGCCAACTTAATTTTTTTAAAATACGGACCTGCAATTTTTATTTCAAGTTTTGAAAGAACTCGGTCTCCCGAGTACAATGATAAACAAACTAGTTTCTAATGCTCTACATGTTCGAAAGGGTTACCACCCTCCCTAATGCACAATTTTTTTTCGTTCAATCATATTTATAACTCTTTGAATGTGCAATTAATTTTTTGATTTTCTAAAAAGTAACAACAGGAAAAAATAAAATTGATTTTCCAAAAAACTCAGCAATCCTTGAAATTTTTAAAACTTTTTTGATGGAATCTTGGTCAACATCCGAAAGCGCAACTTTGCCCCAATTTAGCTATGTTCGTATCTATTACGGATACCGAGGTACCATTGCTCGTACCTCGAATTTGTAGCACCCTGTATAATATGTTCATTTTTGGATCGGAAGTCTATTGCTAATTATTAAATGTTTCAGTAAGGTTTCCATAAAAAGACTTACCGATTTTCTTAGCTACTTCATTAGCATCATATCCTCGGTTATTGTTAGATCCTACTTTAAAAGAAACAGACTTCAAGTGAACCCTAAAAATATTTTATAGAAGTACAAAAAAAGGTTTATAACTACGCCATCTTACTGTCCATCGGTGAAGTCCCTCTGTTCCATATGGAGCAAATTCGAGATGTTTCTCATGATGTCTTTCCCTTGCTTCCAGTCCCTTAAGGGTTCCTGAAATTCCACGTGCACATACGATTCGTCTGTTTCGCGAGAAGGTGCCTTTAAGGTATCGTAGATGCTGTTTGGGTTTGGATTGGCACCTCGGGGTTCCTTTTTTATCATTGAAGGGATTAAGTTGTTTTGAGAAAATTTGTTCGTGGCTAAGGCTAAAATAGTGTGTATTATATAAATTTACTTACTACATACACAGAATACCTCTTTGAGACATCTCTGTTATAGCAGGATCAAAAGGTGGTCCGGGTTTTTTAACATCCAACCGTTCTGGTCTTTTAAACCCCATGTTATATCTGTCCCAAATACTTAAGTCGTCTCGCATAGCAATCTCCTGTTGATTTTCTAAAAATGAAAAATATACAGGGTGTTTCAAAACACAGGTGCCGTCTCTCGTAGGGAGATTCCTCACGTAAGAATAATATTTATTTTTCATATCAACATAGGTCCGATTCTGCTTTGTTTTGAAGCTACTAAAGTCTTAATAATCTTTCGATCTGTTATCATTTTCTTCTAAGTACTTTTCGTGATTTGAATGCAATTTTAGGGTAAAAGTTAGTATAAGTACTACATACTTTAATGCTAAAAAAGTGTCGACAGACTCACAGGGTTGTTAAGTAGTTTATGAAGCAAAAAACTACGCCAAAAACTACGCGTAGTTTTTTATATTAACTACCTTCAAAAACTACACAAAAACTACGTTAAAAACTACCTACAAAAATATAGTAAAACATAAACAATTTAGACTTTAAACAAAAATCAAGCCAAATTCTTATCATGGAAGTATGAAGTTATATTATATTTGTATAAGTTAAACCACATCAGAAAAAAAGACAATTTTTTTTTCAACAAAAGTGTATTTTCTACGAAATACAAAGTAATATTGAACACAAAATAAACTATAAATTCTTATGGAGAAATTTTCCATAGACATTCTCCAGGAGAATATATGATTTTTTACATCTAAAGGCACAACTTCATAATTCCCCTCTTTCCAGAAGGTATGGAACAAGGTATGGAGACATCAACGTCTTCCAAGCATTTTTAACTACTAAGTATCAAAAATATCACATAATAAGGAACAAATTCACAAAATATAGATTTTTTATGTCTTTAAATTGATCAACAAACAAAGTTTTTAGGTTATGTTTTCACTGTTATTTAAAAAAACTACATTAGTTACATAAACTACACATTTAGTACTGGACATTTAAAAAACTACTTGTGACATGTAGTAAATGTAGTTTATTAATTACTACGTGTAGTTTAACAGAGTCACCAGAGACGTGCGTATGGGTTATCATTGGAATATTTTTCAAAAAAAAAAATGTGTGCCACTGACTTTTTACTTTTGATATCAAAATTGTGTAGGCCATTTAATGCCAATTAAAAGGTATCTCTTGATATTTTGTCGAATTCGGCCTGCTTGATGAGATAAGCGCAATTTTATTAATCACAATAATTAATAAAATTAAAATTAAATTAATAAATTATATATTTTACCTAATGTATTGTTAAATATTATTACTATTAGTCCAACCTAAAGCAATTTTAAATAAAAAAGTAATGGTATTTAAAATAATTACAAAGAAACGTAATTTTAAAAAACTTTAACATCCTGTAATTCTAAAACTATGCTTTTCCATACCCATGATACATTTTTGAAACACCCTGTTTATCAATAGTCTACTAAGTATATTTTATCTAAAATACCTAATTCTCCAAAATCTTCTGGTTCTGCCCCACCTTCAGAATACACTACAGGCTTTGTTTTCCATTTTTTATCAAAATCATCGTCCTCTTTTTCTTGTTGTTGCTTCAATTCCCTAAACACCTCTCTAGGTTTTAAAAACTCTAATGCTCTTTCGGAAAAATATTCGTCAGGGTGTCCGCTGCCGTATTCAGTATTACCTTGATCATCTTGATCTACGAATATTTAATTCTATTATATTTTCTCTAAAATTTAGATTTATAGCTTACCTTCTTCAAAATATATTCTTGGTTCGGCTAAATCATCACTAGTCAAGGCGGAATCTTTGGCCTCCCATCCAGCCCGAAAGTTTTCCGGAGTGTTGTATGTCAATGCGAATTTTTCATCTGGACCAAAAGCTAAAATAAGACCTGTAAGATTTTTGAACTCTCCTGTATGTGTTTGGTTCAAATCAAATTGTTAAAATCCTTTGAAGAACTGAAGAAAGAACTGAAGAGTACCAAAACGGCAAATTAAAAAAAAATTAAGGCAAATATAGGATTGAAGAGAAAGTGTACAGGGTGTCCCACTAAGAATAGCTCTCGGCTGTATCTCGGAAAGTATTAGCCGTAGGTTCTGCGGAAAAAAATATTTATAACTAATGAGGCTATGGCAAATTGCTGGAAATTATTTTCAGGTTTATAGAACGACCGCTAGGGGGCGCAACTGCAACAACAAATTTGAAAATGGAGTTTTTACACAATTTTGCCTAGATAAGGTGTACAATAAGAAATAGCTTCATATAATAAGAATAAACATCTTCAGTAAATTTTGAATATTTTTTGTTAGAGACATTTGCCCCTATCTACCAAAATAAAGTGGTGGGGGAAGGTTAGATCGGTTTTTATTTAAATATTAATAACTGTGGACTGGATGATCGGAATCCAACAAGCGAGGGCTCGTTTAAAAGAACGATTCTTATTCTATATTATACCATACAAACAATAATAATAAGCTTTTGAACGTATACGCTAGGGGGCGTTGTCTTATATAATAAATACCAAAAATAAGCCCTTAATTACCTTATTTTTACAACACGGTATCAGTAGCCCTCTTAATTATGCCCATTCTAACAAAAAAATAAGATAGAAACAGTTAGTTTATTTTAAAATCGACGAAATATCAGAATACCATAATACCAGAGGTATTAATATCTAATAATTAAGATATTAATAACAGTGAACAAGAAACGATGATTCAGTGAAGTCATGGTAGGCTTTGGAAAAAAGTTGCTTTTGACGTAATAGTATAAACGTCAAATTGTTATTAGATCAACATTTTGGTAGTTTTATTAGCATTTTTTATCTTTTGATTGCTTTTTCAAAATGCCAACAACTTCAACTATTTCAAATAATAAAAGCATTTTGAAAAAGCAATTAAAAGATAAAAAACGCTGATAAGACTATCAAAATGTTGATCTAATAACAATTTGACGTTTATACTATTACGTCAAAAGCAACTTTTTTCCAAAGCCTACCATGACTTCACTGAATCATTGTTTCTTGTTCACTGTTATTAATATCTTAATTATTAGATATTAATACCTCTGGTATTATGGTATTCTGGTATTTCGTCGATTTTAAAATAAACTAACTGTTTCTATCTTATTTTTTTGTTAGAATGGGCATAATTAAGAGGGCTACTGATACCGTGTTGTAAAAATAAGGTAGGTAATTAAGGGCTTATTTTTTGGTATTTATTATAATTTTGCTAATATCTTCGGTTTGAAAGAAGATATCAAGATGCGGTTTTCGCTGACTCTTTAAGCTTTTACTACTCTTTACTATCAGCTAAAATTACATATACTATTGTATTTAAATTTTTTGAAAAAAGGCGCAATATTTCTTGAAATGTAAGACAACGCCCCCTAGCGTCTACGTTCAAAAGCTTATTATTATTGCTTATATGGTACAATATAGAGTAAAAATCGCTCTTTTAAACGAGCCCTCGCTTGTTGGATTCCGATCATCCAGTCCAGAGTTATTAATATTTAAATAAAAACCGATCTAACTTTCCCCCACCACTTTATTTTGGTAGATAGAGGAAAATGGCTCTAACAAAAAATATTCAAAATTTACTGAAGATTATGAAGCTATTACTTATAGTACACCTTATCTAGGCAAAATTGTGTAAAAACTCCATTTTCATATTTTTTGTTGCAGTTGCGCCCCCTAGCGGTCGTTCTACAAACTTGAAAATAATTTCCAGCAATTTCTCATAGGCTCTTTAGTCATAAATATTTTTTTCCGTAAACCCTTTGGCTAATACTTTCCGAGATACAGCCGAGAGCTTTTCTTAGTGGGACACCCGGTACATAGATATATGGAGTGGTCAGAATTAAAATCGATCAAGTCCAATTTAGTACTATTTTAAGATAATCGTCTTTTGCGTTTATAAAATATTGATTTTTCCAGTAGAGAAATGAATAAAGTCATACTTCACGCATTAAGCAGCTATAGCTTATTTCTGTTTTTTTTCTGAATATTGGGTATAATATATGGATGAAGTCCATAAAATTTAACGCTGTGCGCGATTTTAACGCATATGCTAAAGTTTAGAACTAAAAAAATATTTTAGACACTTCTAGAAACAAAGTCTGAACCATTTGCACCAAGTGAATCAAATTATCAGCCATCTGAAAGGTCTGATTCTATCAATTCTGAAGGTATAGTTTGATTTATCATTATTTTCACTATTACTACTGCATCAATAAGTTAGGCTATGTTTTCTTGCAAATACTTAGATATCTGACATGTTGATCTGAATAAAAATGCTCGAGGAAGAAAAATCTTATCATTTCATGTAGACGTAATGTAACACGCTCTAAAAGGCAATACATGAAAGATCTTGTTCCCTTTATCCCGCCTATATACCGTAATTTTTATAAAAATCGAAGAAAACACTATTAATAGACAATCAGAAGTCAACATATCCGTTAATGACGAAGAAGAAATGTCCAATGAATCAATTTATATCTAAAATTTCAAATATTTTCAGAGATAAAATGGTTCAAGTCCAAGAAAGTATAAATAAACATTCTTAAAAATGGTCACAGTTGTATTTTCAGTAACTTTAGTTTCTAATTATTATACAGTTTAAAATGTAATAAAACATTGTGTCCAGTTTTCTTCTCCAACTTGTTTTATTTTAATTAAGTAACATTAAAAAACTTTAACTCTCATTTTCTCCATAATTATTAGGACTTAATACAGTTCACTTTTGAATCCCTCATATAAAAAACTACACTCTCTTAATCTTAATGGTAAAATTCGTGCAATATTTGAAACAATATCTAAGCTATTAAGTGACATGTTTAAGAATACCTACTCTAGAGCCTTTAAAAAGGCTATGATATGAACAAGTGCGTTCAAGCTATTTCAAAGATAACCAAATTGTATGTATACCTTCCCTAAAAGCTGTAAATTATCTGAAGGAATTGGTCAGTTGACCAGTCGAAATAATCTATCTCAGAAGGAGCGCAGGCATATTGAAAATAAACCGGATTACTAACAGAAAAATCCGACACCAAATGAATGCTCCAATTATAAATAAGGTAGAGATCAGACTGTGTCAGTGGAGTCCTTCATAAAGAAAGAAGACGAGATAGACCAAGAAGGTCCTGGAACACCACAACTAGATGATTCAATGCAATTTAGTAGCTGTATTTTTTGATTAACCGACAATCAGTGTCTAATCAAATCCCGTATATATAGGGTGAGTTTCCTACGATGTTCTCTATGAGAGTAGATATCTCGGAAACTACGAGTTCGGAAAGTACGAGGTGTCGGTTAAATGAAGAAAGAATTGCAGTTTTGTGGGGTCATAAATATTCGGCTTTCGGATTTTTGAAAAAGTTTATGGCTTATTAGATATTTCGAAAAAAACAAATTTTGGCTATTTTAAAACTTCTCCCTAATTCCATTATAATCTATTTTAGACAAAACGTTTTCAGATAAAAGTTGTAGATAATCACATACCTAATGAATTTGTGTTTTCTGATTTTTTCTAAAGCCTGTCATTTTTGACATATGACACAAACATATGTTTTTTTATGGAAACCATAGTTGGCCATGACTTCATAAAAATCGTCATTTTTTAAGCTTTTCAGCGATATAGGGTATAATATGTTTTTTTTTTCGAAAAATTACTGAGATAGCCAATTCCATCTTGACTAATTTCACTTAGTTGGCATGGTATTCTTATTCTGTTATGATTTATAACTTATAAAAAAAGAATATATCATTAAACGGTTCTTTACAATTTACATTACGAAAACGAAAACGTAAAAAATAATATCACTTCCCCGTACACTTTAATTTATTTTAGGAAATGTTCTCCCGTACCGCCTCTTCGAGTGCCTCTTTTAATTCATCGAGGAGGTCCACGCAATTGGTCCACCTCTTCCGATCCCTGAGTTTGCATAATTATGATATAAATAATTTTTAACATTTCTTTCGTTATGGGGAGGTGTCATAATGAAGCCGGGATCCTATTAGGCCACACGCCACGCGAAGCCACGCTATCCCAGGTGAGCTCACGTGTTGCAGCGTGGGAGAGAGTATGCACATGAGATCTGGGGCAGACGATCGCCCATCACATGAGCGTGGGATGGCGTGGAGTGGCGTGATGTGGGGTGGCGTGTTGCCTAGTCTGTACGCAATACATGTAATTAAATGGAAAAACATACGCACAGATCTTCATGACGTGGGGTGGCATGGCGTGGTATAGCGTGTTGGCTAACGGGGTCCCAGCATGAAAGTCATGTTGGAAAAACTGCAATTCTTTCCCCATTTAACCGACCCTCTATCTTCAGTAGTTTCCAAAATAACCATAGAAAACTCACTCTGTATAATAATAATAATTGTTCAGTTAAAGACCAAGACCTATCGGTATAGAAAGCAATAAATTAGCTAAATCTCTTGCTAAAAAGACAGTTGTTTTCCCATTCGATAAACTTAAAACTTCCAGTGGCATCAAAAATGCCACTTCAAGAATATAATCCTTATGAATAACACCAAATATCTTACTTGAAAGGCATACGAATCCAAAGACAAACTAAAAAGTTTATAAAAGTTTGTGTTCAGAAAACATTAAGAAATTACTTTCTTATTTTAAGTTCTTTACAAGCCCTCCTTACTGGACACTATCTACCCACTTAGATAGATTTTAAGAAAAATGGCTTAAACAGATGTCGCAATTACAATTAAGCTGAAAAGCTAGCCAAAAAATCTTGAAAGAATGATAATTAAATTATTTAATCTCTGGCAAGATCAGTAAATCTCCAAAAAACCTTTAGAGTTATTGGAAAACATCTAAGGTCTTTCACAAAAGATTTAAGAAAGTCAAAGCAGCAATAAGTCACTAACTTAAGCGACTAGTTGACACATTTCCATCAACAAGGTTTTTCAACGTTAATTTTGTTACAATTACTGACCTTGTAGGTTTGGTTCGGACTGTTCCATTTTCTGCTTCAGCAATTCATTTAACAAAAACTCATCAGATGGTTCAGTTTCAGCATCTTCCTTTATAGCATTGAGAATGTTTATCAGTTTACGATAGTTAGATTTACTCAGATATTTTTCCACTTCCTTAGGAGAAAGATTCAGCTGTTGCAGCAACTTAATAAGAGGATACATCTCTTCATCTGGAACATCTCGGTTGTCTACTTCAATTCTGGGTGTTTCTGGTGGTTGGGATAAGACTGAAGGAAACTCGTTTTCATATTCGTGAAGAAATTCTATCGAATCGATAGGCTCTTTATCTACTCTCCTATATTTAGGCACCCCATATCTGTAAAGTTTCCGAAGTGTAAATTTTTATTTTTATAGCTATGAGGGTAATATTCACCTTCCATCGAAAAAAGGTGTAATAGATCTGCGTTTCATAGATGGAATCCAAGTTCTTTTGGCCATTTTGTAGTCTGACAAGGGGTCTGGCATATCTACTGTAAAGGGCAAGAGAATAATCAGTTAAAATATTTCCCAGAGAGATGCCTTGAATACTTGAAGAAAACTAGAACTTACAATCAATTCCTGCTCCTGGACCTAAGATTTTCCTCCTCAGCTGTTCCTGTTGACTATTATCAACGGGTGGATAGTAGACTTCGTCAGCAAAGTCAGCATGCGGGTTATCCACACTCGGCGTGTACTTAATAATGGCAACTTCTTGAGGATCGAGTTGGACCTGACCTTCCAGAGCTCGAAGAGCCCCTTCGAGGTCGTTGTCGGATAGATGAGAACAAGAGTCTGGCTCAAAATCAATTCTGCAAAAAAAATCCAAAATTTTCTTAAAAATATTTTTGCAGTATTAGTCAAAGTATTATCCTAAGAAACGCCCTGTATAGCCTGTATATATCATTTTTTGTTTCATCTAATTAGGATTCCAAAAAGTCTGTTTGAAAATTAGTATATTAAATTATATTCTTTCTGCTTTTTTATCCGGCCATAATTACAAAACAAAAAGGAACCTCTGGAGGAATGTCCTATAGTTCAAAGGTCATTAAAGTTAAGGTCAAATACCATCGATGCGAACGTGGCAGAAGAAAGATTAGATTAATGGAACTTCATCTCATTAAAACAAGTTTTTGGCGCAAAATCAATAGATGACTCTCTTATATAAAAAATATCTGAAATAAACTTGGCTCGGAGATGAAAAGGAAAGCTATAAAAAGTACGTAAACAAATCAAAACAATTTTTTTCAATTTTTTACTATTTTTACATTAAATATGTTTCATTTTTAATATATGTATGGGAGCTTTTGCCATTTGTGAACACTATTGTGTTATTTTTCAAAAGGATTTTTACGTAGTAGATAATTTCCAAAATTTCCTGTAGATTTTATCTCATCTTTTTTACTCACTAACAACTGCTGGACTTGTTGCTTTATAGTTTTATCTTACTTCGAAGCACTTATGAATTCACACACAACATGATCTGTTCGCACTTTTTACAACCTTTGTGATACTTTCAGTAGGCCGATCCCACTTCTGATGTAAGAATACAGTACGTATTTTTTAAATTAAACACTGGATTTTCTTCATAACTCTTGATATTCTCAATCGTCTGTTCTTAACTAACCTCGAGTGCTTTGTTTCTCCCAAAACAAAATATTTAGGGCAATTCTCTGAATTACAAAAAGATAAAGCTCACATGTATATGTGCTTTTAATGTTGTTTAAAATTTATTTCTAGCTATACGTTATCCCCCACTTATCATATTAATGATTTTTAATATTTATTATTTTCTTTAATACTGAAATTATTAAAAAATAAATTAAGATAATAATTTGAATAGATATTTCTAATCATCATGTGAGTTTTTTCTACAAAATACACTTACCCATGTTTAAGAGTGTAGAGCATTCCTTGAAGACGGCATTGTGTGTAAGAATGCCCCCAACGATATCCTAATGCAAATAATCTTCGCAACTCCTTGCTAAGGTCATGGAGAGAGTCTTGTTGAAGCCCGAACCTATATAAGAAATCAGTATTTTAACGCTATATAGTTTAGCTATTTGTCTGATCTTTCTACTAAAGGCGGAGTTAAAAAGTCAAATATCTTATTTCACAGACACAGATTGCTCATTCTTGTTCTAATAAGAACAAGAAAGCGCAAAATGCAATTAGAACGCAATTCTAGAAGATTGATGAGATAAAGACGGAATGCAAATTTAAATCGAACTTTGCGATATTATATTCGAGCCGCTACTCACGAAGGAAAATTAGCCTGGTTTGTGTGTTGTTAAGAATATTAAAGTATATTTTCCATTTAACTGCGTCTGTATATATTACACAATAAATAATTATCAAAAAAAAATATTTCTTTTTAATTACTCTTACCTCAGAATTTAAAAGAATAAGTCATTGACATAATTAAAATTATACAGAGGTTCTAAGAAGAACGACAGTTTGTATAAAAATAAAATTATGTAAGCATCATATGCATAATATAACCTAAACAATCAAATCATTTCCCCCGAAGATGGATTGGAAATGGTAGAGCAGTATAATGGCCAGGCGAGGTTTCTGGACGTGTTGCTAAGGGGCGAGAGGACAATACTTGACGTCATTTGTGTAAATGAAATCAATAGATCTCAACATTTACAATAAAGAGTACCAAATGCATTCGGAAGTATAAGAAGAAAGTTCAAAGAGCTATAAATAAAATTGAACGAAATATAAGTTTGTGCAATAGGGAGGGTGGAAAAATCCTTTCGAACATGTAAAATATTAGAAACTAGTTTGTAGAAGTTGATTTATTTATAAATTACGGGTAATATTATGCATATTATTAAATCGTACATTGAGATTTCAAATTCGTAATAAAAAATTCACAGTCCTTTACAAAGATGCAACCGATGAATAAAAACGTAAAAATATGATTAGTGTTAATATGAGTGTATTACATACATATGTTTAAATAACGAACTTAACAAAAAACAACAGATTTAAACATTCACTGAAAAAGGAGTAAAGAAAAGTAGTTTAGAACTCGACGTAACCTAACCAAAGTCGAGATTTTACAAAATTTCAAACAATATCTCTCGAAAATAATTAATAGTGAAATGACATTTACCCTCTATGGATAGAACCCTACCTATGGTCCCATATAAACTGTATTACTAAAATAAATAGCTTTGACATATAAAGTTTTTAATTGTCGCTTTTCTTGATATACTGCCCTGATTTTATTTTATTTTTCCAGAGCACTAATACTCCCTTTATATTGTTACGGATTCCGTGGGTCCACTAATTTAAACTCACGATAAAATACTTAACGAATTTATTTTCTCACTTTATACACAATTACTAACTTATAACACACAACAAACTAAGATTCCTTCACCAAATTGTCCGATTTTCAATTTCCACGCGGTATATTCAAATTTCAAAAACTGTCATTCCCTATTCTACTCCCTAAGGGTATGAATTTCATAAATTCCTATGTCCAAATAATTAACTCATGTCTTTTAAATGATCCTTTGTGCAAATTTTTATGTGTATAATCCAGAGGTCACGAAGATTTATATAATTTTTTACTAACTTTACCCTTTTGGTTGAAGAATTTCAAAAATCTCTTCTTATTCTTTCTGTAGAATTTCATTCTTCTAGACCAGATAGTAAATCATTTTCATACAACAAATCGTTCGACATAATTTTACACTCTAAGAGGATGAATTTTGTAAAATCGCTTTGCATAACTAATTCACTAATCACTAATGTTCTTTAAACGAACCTTTGTGCTAATATTGATGTATCTAAAGCTGGTGGTATGAACTGACCCCTAAAATATCTAAAAACTTGATATATAATCTCTATAATCTAACTGACACACCACTGACAATGACAAATAATTGACTTCTGGAGGTATTTTGAGTAGGTTTGGTATGTTTTAATATTTATTCGTTTTACATAAAGAAATACCGATTAGACGATATAATATACTTCATAACAAATCTAGACATATATACCTTTCATGGATAACAAATTAATTACTACTGTCAGCTAGTTCAGCTACTGTCTAGGTAGAATATACCTAGAGTACCTACACCTACCTATGATGTAGGTAGATTAAAGCTTATTTTGACTTTACCTCTCACTTCGGTGTCACAAGCTGAATTTTTCAGGGATGGAAGTACAGTACATGATATGGGGACCTTATTCCGAAAGTAGTACAAAATTAGACCGGGCACTATCATCAAAAATCGATATATTAATACCACCGTCACAACCACCGTACAGAGAAAACAAATACTTATTTTTTGATCCAGTACACAATAAAGTCTTCGTAGGGAGTAATTTTTTATAATTATTTACAAAAAAACATTTCCATTAACGCTTATGACCAAAAAAAACTTTAAACATGAATAATCATTTCAATTATGCGAAAATTTGGTTTAAAAATAGATTTTTTTTAATATAACTTTCATTTAACGAAAAATGAAGGCCTAAATGAAAAAAATAAACAATTTAAAAGTTTCGCTTATGTCTTGACAAGGTATCAAAGCAAACCCCATATTTTTTGCTTTTAAACTAATAAAGATATATCAATAAACAATTAGCGATGTAATGGTTTTTGCGCGCGCTGGCCGACTGCCGCCGCTGCGCCGAGATTTCCTATACCCTTGTATACCCCGAGATTTCCTATCCCTTGTATATATGACGTAATGGTGTGGCAAATGTAGCATTTTAATTCGATTTGGGCTCCCTTATATAGGATAACAGAAACATTTTCAATGTTAAAAGTTAGAAATAATATCTTTAAATTGCTGAGCTGTATATTATTTATTTGAATCTTTCAATTGGCTCGATTTTTCTTATACAATGTTAATTAGCGCTCATCAATATTGTTGCAATAAATATAATCAGATTAAATAATTTAAAAACCCAGAGGAGTCGGACTTGAAATTATTTTAAATAATAATTAAATAGTTTTGTTGCTGTTAAGGTACCCAAAACAAAAAAAAGTATAAAGTGTGACATATCATTTTACTCAGGAGACCGAGTTCTTTTAAAACAGAAATAAAAAATGCAGGTCCGTATTTAAAAAAATTAAGTTGGCCTCTGTATCTCACAAATTATCAGCTAATTTGAAAATCTAAGAATAACTATCAGATAGCCCTAATAAAGTGGCTATGAGAATGTGTAATTAGTTTTTTGATTTTCTTAAAGTAACGACAGAAAAAAATAGAATTGATTTTCAAAAAAATCCATTTTTTCCAAAAAAATCAGCAATCCTTGAAATTTTTAAAACTTTTTTGATTGCATTTTGGTGAACATCCCAAAGCGGCAACTTTGCCCCAATTTAACCATATTCGTATCTATTACGGTTATCAAGACACCAATGTTCGAAACTTGAATTTGTATATCCCCTGTATATCGGCACAAATAAACTTAGCCATTATTTTAAATTTGGTCTAAAACTTCAGTTTATTACCTGAAAAGGTCATCTTCGTCCAGATCACCAGCGGTGGGTAGACAACGCCCAAAAGCTAAATCTAAAATAAAAATAACTCAGTGTTTATACAGGTCTTCCTATACAACCTAAGAACAACCTTAAATATTTGCTTTAACAAAGTTGTGAAGCAATTTATACTCGACGGTATATTTATAATGTTTTTATAATGGAAAAAAATAAGATTATTAAGGAGATTTATTTTTCACATCGATTGATACAAGGCCAAAAATAAACCAAAAAAGTATTTTCCTCGTATATACTCATCAAAGTAAGAAATAACTCTATTTTAGATAGAAATAAAAAATCTAATCATAAAGTTCAACGAATTGAATTAAAAGGAAATATAATATTCCTAAAAATAAAAGATTTATCGATTCTTAAAAAATGATTCTGTAATAAGTATTTGTAATATTTTTTTATGAAAATATTTTCAAAGTCTCTTGAAAATCTCGCTTTTTCTCGAGAATAGGATTTTCTATGGAACTCTAATTATTCTTGATTACTTGACACTCTTGGCAGAATGGCTTAATATGACAAAGTACTGTTGTATATAAATCTTACTTACCATTATAACACCATTCCTCTTCAAGACAAATGCGTTCGCTAAAGAGGCAGCCTAGAAATATAAAGAAAAATGTATATAACCAAGAATAATTTAAGGCACAAGAGAAGCTACTGACGCCAGAGAAAGATTTAACACCGAAACGTCAGGTATTCTTTGTTGGTTAGTGAAATTTATATACAGGGTGGTCCGAACTGTATTCCGGAAACTTCGGCAGCATATTCTGCAGATTAAAATAAATAAAAAAAGTTCGTATAAATATATGTCCTAAAATGCTTAGTTTCGGAGATACAGGATGTAGAAGTTTCATTTTTATTTCGATTTTTTCCAAATAATTTATGAAGTAACGTCAATATTTGGATGAAAATTGGTGTCTGGCAGTTTTTTGACATGACAAATTTGATTTTCATGTCAGTATCACTCCTACTTATAGAGGGCGCCACCTACATTTTTTTTAACTGGTTTGAAGCTTTGAATAAGAAGACTAAGGAAGGAGCATATCAAAAATCTTAGGTCCACCGCGATGGTACTCAAATATGGCCGACTTAAATTCCAGTTTATCAGTGCCGTTCTAATTTTATTTAAAAAATGTAAAACTATGATGTAGGGTAGACGTGGGGTAGACTCAATATTTTTTTTTATTTTACGTTGTGAATAAATGTTGGTAGTTATTAAAATTCAATTACTAAACATACCAATTACTATACTCAACGTGTGCTTATTTTTTGTCAATAATGACATTTATTGACTATTTCCATTCTAAATATCTTGAGAATGGTTGCTCGTAGCGATTTTTAACAAGAGATATTTTTTACGTAAAAAGTCATGGAAATGTATATTTTTTCAGTCAGTAGTTTTATACAGGTACGGACGAAAAGTTATTATTCTTCAAAACAGTTAAAACACATGTAGATGGCGCCCCCTACAAATAGGAGTCATTTTGACATCAAAATCAAATTGCTCGTGTCACAAAACTCAAAGACACCAATATTTATCCAAATATTGACGTTACTTCCGAAATTATTTGGAAAAAATCCAAATAAAAATGAAACTTCTACACCCTGTATCTCCGAAACTAAACATTTTAAGACATACATTTATACGAACTTTTTTACGTATTTTTATCTGTAGAATATGCTGCCGAAGTTTCCGGAATACAGTTCGGACCACCCTGTATATTATCATAAATAAGTTCAAATATTTTTAGGGGTGGTATATTTCAACCACAGGAACACGTCTATGAGGGTTTTTTTTCGCAAAAAAAGATGTTGAAAATCGCGCATTTTCTTCTAAATTTTCCTCTATATATTTACACAAATTAACTATAACAGATGCGAAAGAACACCGAATTACGCGTTCAGGTTTCTGTGACCTTCAGAAAGAGTTCATAGACAATCCGCATCAATGTATAGTTTGGGTTATTATTTGTTTGGGTGAAAATAATCTGCACCAATATGTTATCGAGGCATACAAAAAGGTCCACAGACTTCGAGACATACGAAAAATCAAGTTCATTTAGCGTGTGTCGCAATTTTCACACCTTAAAAAATTAGTTTTTTATAGCTATAGCAACTGCAGCGACTATGAAAAAAGCTGTGTGATTTTCATAGAAAATAAGGGCACCTGTAATCATTTGAGAATGTTATAAATCGCTAAAAGAGGTTTCAAATCTCTTGGATTTCTATTAATATTAAATAAATTTTATTAAAAATTAAACTAAAATTGTTAGTATCATTAAAAACAATTCAAATTCAAAAATTGTATCAGTCAAATTCCCTCATTTAAGGTGAATATTAAAGTAAATATAAGTACAGCTAATTCTAAGCTCTACTTATCTTTAAGAAAAATTTAAATCATTGTTGCAATTGGGCCTTAATGCCATTTCGAATGAACAATAGTATTAATAATGTACATTATAATAATAATAAATTTTATATCATAGTGTGTATTAAAACTACTAAAACACTTTTAAATTGGTATTATATTAACCACTTTTGTTTTTTAATCCAAATAAAAGTTACCAATTTTCTCAATCAAAATATCTGTGGTCCTGAAAAGGACCTTCGTTTTCCCATGTTCGTCAAGGTAGGTAATGGGTAAACGGTAAAAAAACAGGATAATGAAATTTAAAAAATTACAAAAATTGTTCAAAAGTGCCTCCCTCTCCCATTAAACAATAACCCAAACGATCATAAAATCCCCTCCTCACATTGGATAACATATATCAGGGGTGACAGTGTCAAAGGCATTAAATATTTTCTGCCTTAACTGCTCCAAGTTTTGAATTTCTTCATGGCCGTAAATTTTAGATTTTATGTACCCCCATAAAAAGAAATTCATTCACCGAGAAGTCAGGTGAAATTAAACGTCAGTCTAAACAAAACTGTCATTTTTGAAAAGTTGTCAAAATTTGGACACACGCTAAATCGACTTGATTTTCCTATGTCTCGAAGTCTGTGGACTTTTCTGTATAATCTCACAGTAATTTAATAGATTGCTCCTCATATTATATCAGCTCGTAGGAGATTAGGAAAAAAAAAATATTTATAGTATAAAAAATTAATTTATTGAACAAAATTTAATTAAAGATGTGACAAAATAGTTACATTTCTATTGGTTCTATCGGACTTTTTTCGACTATATAAATCTTTATTTTTTGTAAACTTTAATGCATAAAATATTTTCAATCTAATAAATAATTTACTGATGTAAATAAGAGGAAATTTCTCACATGGGTGGTCAAATTCTATAGTTTTCATTATATCAAACAGCCTCTGAATTCAGTGCAAAACTCATCAAAATTTAATATAAATAATTTTTCCAGCCTGTAAATAAAATGAACAAATTTTTCCACTTTCATGATCAAAGGCTTTTAAATGGGTAAATAATTTCGAGTTATCCAGAGATTCGGATTCTTTTGCAAATTTTAGACAAATATCACATTGATGTATCTGAAGACCCTTTTTAATGATGTAGTCAAACATAATTAAAGGCATTTTGAGTTGAAAACATTTCTCAGAGGCTGTTTGATATAATGAAAACTATAAAATTTGACCACCCATGTGAAAAATTTCCTCTTATTTACATCATTAAATGATTTATTAGATTGAAAATATTTGATGTATTAAAGTTTACAAATAAAGATTTATATAGTCGAAAAAACCTGATAGAACCAATAGACAGGTAACTATTTTGTCACATTTTTAATTAAATTTTGTTAAATAAATTAATTTTTTATACTATAAATATCTTTTTTTTCCTTATAAATAAACACATTTGCATCCCATTTTAAATAAGATATACAAATTACCAAAACTTAGAAATAACGGTTCAAAAGTTCAACAAAAATCCTAGACGCGTTTTTAAAAAGAAACATATAACCACGCACTATGTCATTCCAGCAACCGAATACGACACAGCATAGGTTTCCGGACTAAACGACTGGTGTATTTACACCACTCAATAGGCGTGTCGGGTTTTCCCGAGCGGTTTCCGATGCAGTCGCTTTCTTTATCTGTTATAGGTAATTTGTGATATTTAGAAAACTGCCTGTTCACCGCAAATTTTCCCACGGTATAATTTCTTAATCTCTGATGACGTTACCATGGCTACGGCACTAAAAGGTAGAGGCTCTCAAAATTTCTAAAAAATAAAGGATTTTTTTAACTTTTCAAACTTGAATAACTCGGTTATTTTGGACTTATTTAAAAAACGGTAAAAAATTTTTTTATTTTATCGAGATCTACCAGCCCTGAAAATATTTGCACTTATTTAAGACTCACCCTGTATAGTTTCTCAGTACTTTAATATATTTATAGATGTAAATGAACTTCAAATAACAAAAATACCATTAGACGTAGTTTTAAAAATATTATACACACCAAAAGCTAACTTTTAAGAACAACAGTTACAACATTTTTTTTATTAACGGATAATAAAACAAATTTAGGACACTTTTAATAACATCATGCTGTTGTTTATAAACTCAAATCACCAGTCTCCTACAAGAAACTGATAAATTCCACTAACTCTTAAAACTTTTCAAATATATATTCGTTTTTCTCGAAATATTTCCAAACATAAAAGCAACTGCGGGCAAAGAAATAAAGGACGGAAGAAATGTCCTCAATTCTTGGAAAATTTCATCTAAACTTTTTCCTCGGATTTCGTACGTTCTGTACCTCAAATTTCTCACACGTTTTTGCACTTAATCTTGAGGCCGTGTTGTCGGCACATGGGGTAAGATTACACGATATTTCCCAATATTGCATATAACCCTCAGTTAAATAGAATTAAAGCTAATAATAGGATAAGATTACAATAATTTTTCAGCGAAAGAATATTAAATATAAATAATTTTAAATGTAATAATACTTAAACGATATAACAGGTAGGTAATCAGAATTTATTTTAAAATAAGTATAATATTAATTCAGAATATATAATCCTGATGCTAAAATACTTTTAAGACAGATGTTTGACAATTAAATTATTTCAATTTCAAAAAACGCAGGGGTTTTATATCCAAGTATTATTGGGACACCCTGTATACTCTCTTTTTTCTATAAGCTTCTAAAAATAAAAAACATTGAAATGCATGTTCTAAAGTATTCAAAAGTTAACTACTTTGACCTTTGACCGTTTTTTAAAAATAATATATGTAAAAGGGAAAATAAGTTACTTACCGACGTTTCCTTCTGCAATGATACCGGGTGGTCCAAGAATAGCCAGAATAAGAAGCAGCAAAATCAATCGCAACTGTGGCCCGGGCCACGGCATGGCCTGCAACCAAAATGAATATACAGTGAGTTAATAGTAGTCAATACTGAAAATAATACAATGATTTTTTATGTCCTAGGTCTATATTACATTTAAACCTAGTATTACCAATTTTGAATAAACAGATTAAGGAAAGGGTATATGAATAAAATAAGGGGGATTAATATGGCTGACATAAATTCCGGTTTACCAGTGCCGTTCTTAAGATGTTCAATAAAAATGTCGAAAAAATGTTAAAGCGCGTAAAGGAGGGTATAATTACGTGGTTGTTGGATGCAATAGCATTCAATAATTCAACTTTCCCGGATATTCAACTCTCCCGAAACATTGTATAGCTTGTACGGTAGTATAACTCTCCCTTAATCCTTTTATTCGAAGATATACAGAGTGTCCCGAGCTGAGCGTGCATTAGAAGTTTCTAAAGAACTATAATATCTAGATCGGAGATTTTTTGCAGATCATTGTATCACAACGAGATCTATCGATTAAAAATATTTTCAATATGGCGGCACTTTCCGACATACTGGAAGTTGGCAGCGGCTTTCTTATTTTAAATGGATACCCCCATTTTTTTCTACATATTTAAATTCTCTGTACAATTTTATTATTTTTGATATTAAACACTCACATTAACAGTTTTTGAGAAAAAAAATCAAATCTGGTAAAAACTGCCTGTCAAAAATATGTGTGTAGCCTAAATGTCAAATTTAGTGATTACCACAGCCCCTATGCTACAAAGAAAAGACTTGTGGCTATCTATTTCAAGAATTAAATTGTTCGAATGCCATATAATAATTGCCACAGCTGTCATGGAATTGAGCGATTAAAAAATGATTATAAATCATTTTTTTCGAATGAAAACCCACTTTTTTTACCTCACGATTGAAAAGGCTTTTCAATTCGTTACTCTTTGACTATACATGTTCCTATACCTAAACTAAATCGTTTTTAGGTTATTTAAGATTTAGTTTTAAAGCGTATATTTTTCTTGATTTTAACCAGCAGTCTATGACTTTAAACGTCAAGTGAAGTAAAACAATAGATCTGGACATGTCAGTAGCGGCTCGTGACCATTAGAACTGATGAGGCGACGCAAACGCGGACGAAAACAAAAAGACGGGGAGAGGGGTCTAAGCTGCAACAAGTTTAATTTTTTTTGCTCCTCAGATATAATATGTTTGAAGGTTTAACCTACTAAAAATGTCATAAGAACTTTTTTTTGTTTTTATGTGTTTATTTTCTTTTTGTTTTTTAAGCAGCTAAGCAACAATAAGCTAGAGATTTTTTTGCTCCTCAGATATAATAAGTTTGTAAGCATAACTTATTAAAAAAGTCATCATCGGAACTGTTTCTTTATTTTTTTTTTCTTCAGAGTATATAAGGGTAATCAACAGCTCCTTTTCAATTGAAAATAAAGACAAAGCAGAAATTCTATCTTGTAACATTGTATTTCTTAAGTAGATTTTATCCGTTTTAGATAAAAAAAAATCCCGCTCGGCTTGAACACTTGTAATCCGGATTGTTAATTTGTCTTTTTATCATTTGTTATAACACTTATCTGGTGAGTAGGTCTGTTTCCCTGTAAGACCTCTCGCTTTTCATCCTCCTGTCTTCTGGGAAACGGGGTTTCTAAAAGGGACATCACAATGTACATGATTCATTTTAAAGTCTGATTATTACAAAATAAATCACTAAACTCTGAATTACGGCTAGGTCACACTACTTGCTACTCACAAAAACATAAAACAAACCTACCGAACAGACGTGACGTTTAGTAATTCCCCGAAATATCTAAAGTTATTTTGACCAGTATTGCGTGGATGCCAAGAGTTCATATTATTCAAATTTATTCTATACTCTCTTCGATATACGATATTATTTCCATAATTATTGATGGGGTATTTCGTGAAGATCAATTAATAGATTTATTTTAATTACAAAGAGTATTATAATATCGCATTATCCAGCCATATCAAGCACGAACTATTTTTGAACTTAACAATCAAGTTTGTAAAGAATGGATTTTTTTCATGAATCTGGCAACAGCGTTGCACTTAAGCGATTTGGCTGTCGCCTCTGCAGCAGCTAATTTCACGCTTTCCCTCCGCTTCCCCGACCCACTGATTTCAATGTGTGACGTTTTAGTTCATTGATAAAAAAAGGTAGGCAGAGGCGGTAAAAATTACGCCTCAGGAACGCAGAACGAAAAGATGCATTGTAGTCCAGTTAAAACAGAAACGATATGGCGCGATCGGTTGGTTTAGACCGGTCGAAAAGCTTGATATATTTTAATAAAATTATTCAATATTAATATTGCTATAATATAAATATACGATTAGCTGGAAATAAATTTGTGTACTACTAAAGGCTAGAATTTCGAGGTGAGGCGGCGCCTCAGTTGACTCACCTGACGGGCCGCCACTGGGACATGTCATATGTATTTGTTCAAAAAGCAGTATGTTATCGATCATCATTTCCAAACCGACTTTGGCTGTTTTTCATTCATACAGTATATTAATAATAATATCAACTATTATATTACATATCACTAAAGTGCGAAAATACCAGATATATTTTGATAAATACACTTTTTAAACTCCTAAGCAGGCAGTATTTATATTATAGGAAATTTTAATAATTCTTTTTCTGACAGATAGAAATAAATTGTCTGACTGTTTGACACTTAATGTGAAAGGAAGATAGATAAAATCAAGAAAAATGTACGTTTTCAAACTAAATCTTAAATAACTAAAAAACGATTTTATTTTAGGTATAGCAACATGTATAATTAAAAGTAACGAATTCAAAAACCTTTTCACTAATAAAATAAAAAAGTGGATTTCCATTTGAAAAAAATGATTTATGATACTTTTTAAATCGCTCAATTATATGATAGCTACCGCCAAGATTATATGACATTGAACAATTTAATTTTTGAAATAGATAAAGATTTGTCTTAGCTTTACAACGCAATGACTGTGGTAATCATTAAATTTGACTTTTAGGCTATACATTTTTTTAGGGTTTTTTGGTCCAAAAATATAAAATATTTTTTTTCTCAAAAATGGTTGATGTTAGATATAGAGTATTTGACATCAATATTCATATAATTTCACAGAGAATTTAAGTACCGTAAAGTGGGGCTACTTTGTGACAATTTTAAAGGGTTTTTCAAAATTAATCGGAGGTTTTTAATGTAATCGCAACTTTAGTTGTATGAATGAACTTCCAAACTATTCCTAACTAACCTCTATTTTTTTCTTTGCAAACGATTTAATAGAAAACCAGATATTTTGAAAAATAAGTGTCACAATCTAACCCCTATGGTCGGGGTTACTTTGTAACAGCAAGATTTCGTCCGTTTACTAAATGATATTTCAACTCTGGCACAAAGTAACACCTGTGCTATACATTATTTAAGTCGTGTATGACGTTAGAAGTGAAAAAAAATCTATGTAGGATAATAGGGCCAGGAAAATTTCACCAGTTGAATGCAAAAAGAACATTTATTATACCAACCATGGTGTATAACTTCAAAACACAAGAGAAAAATAAAACTAAACATTTTTAGGTAACCTGTTATGCCCTAGCTGCTTATGATGACATATAAACATTATTCGAGTAAACTGCTTAGTTCTTGACGTCAAATAACGCGCGTTTTCCTCGCTGTACCGGTGGATTAATGCTCATAACAATTTCACTGTTGGAGTAGAATATTTCGTCCTTTTTTAGGGGCCACTTCCACTGTTTTCCCGCGGCATCCATCACATTAACCATTGCTCCCGACGGAGAGATTTCTGTTATTTTTCCCGGAAAATACTTGCCTTCGAATTCTACAACAACATATTTTCCAATTTGTTTGTCCACATCTGCGGATTCTTTTGATATTATTTTGGTGAAATTTTCATCGTCGGTATGGAAATCTTCATCCCACGGGCTGTCGTCACTCTCTTGGTACTGAACTTCACTTTCATCATTACTGCTATCAGACGATGAACTATTGACTCTGATTTTCCGTTGAATTGCTGTACCTGAGCAAGAAGGCTGAGAGTCACAGTTCACTGATTCTACAGCATTATCGCTGTTAAAGTCAGAACTGCTGATGCTCTTTCCAGGTGGTACGTTCAATCGTTTTTTTCTTTTTGTTTGTCTTGTTTTTGTTGCATCCGCTCGTGTTTTACTTAGATGTTCAATGAAGGTTTCACTCACAGCTTGCGCTATTTCATTATCAGCAGTGACAAACGGCTGCATATGCGGTTTAATACTTCCTGGCGATTTAAGGGATGAATTCCCGTTTTCCTAAAACCGGATTGCAAATTTTGTGTTCCGCGCTCTTCTAGCTTGTTCATCAACTCTTTTAAAAGCCTTGGGAATTCATCCTTTTACACCGAAGAAAACCTACTACCGTGGGCACCTTCCTTCCACTCGTTTAGAATTCTTCGCCATTTTTCTTTCTTGGGACGGAAAAATGCCACATCCAATGGCTGGAGAAGATGGGTGGTGTTAGGCGACAACGCAATAAAACGGACGTTATTGGCTTCACATTCTTGAATAACCTGTAAATTTAAGTGTGAACTTAAATTGTCGCCTATGATGACTTTGGGTCCTTCTTGCTCTTTAAGAATTGGCAGTAACAATCTCAAAAACCAATCTTCAAAAAGTTTATAGTCGAACCACCCTGAGCTTGTCTGATTGTATCGAGCATTAAGAGGGCCATTTTCAGTCCACGTATCCCACATTTTTTTAGCTTTATAATTGATATATAGTGGAGCTAATTTACCCTCAGCGTTTCCGCACACCATTAAAGAGGTACAGGCCTTGGACGAGTTTCTTATCCTTTCAGGGTACTTTGTACCTCTTTTAGTTATGATTTTCGACATTCCCGGATCATCCACCAAATTTGTCTCATCATAATTCCACATATTAGAAGGGGGAATACCACGAAGTTCAACCTCTAAATGATCAAAGAACTTGTTTATAATGTCTTCATCAGTAGCAGCTCTAGTATGCGATATATTCTGAGCAATTCTCTGGGTTAGTTGTGGGTGACGTTTCAAAAACATTTTCACCCAATCGGGTCCCGGAAAGTTCTTTTTAAAACATTTAACATTTTTTCCCTGGCGATCCAAGTAGGATTTTACAATACAGCGAAGGTCAAAGGTAGTTATTGGAAACCCAAATGTCGACATTGTAATAATGTGTACAGCAAATATATTTTCTTCTTCATCGGAGAAGACTTTTTGTTGACCATGTTTATTTTGATGTTTTCCTTTTATCTTTAACCATAGAGTGTTTCGATGAATGCCATATTTTTCGGCAGCAAGGCGTAAAGATGTGTTCTTGCTCCTAATTTCTTCAAGGGCCTGTTTCAATTTCTCATCTGTATAATTTTTGTAGGCGCGGGAGCCAATTTTTCGCTTATACACACGTGGCATAACACAGAAACCTAGAAAAGAAAGTAATTATATATATAAATAAAAATGAGAAATAATCCGGGGGTTACTTTGTGACAGCATTTTTATGTCACAAAGTCACCCCTGGCTTCTCTCTAATTTTATATAAAATTGAAAATAAAATATTACAAAAAATCACAAAAAATGGCGCATTAAGCTAGGTAATCGTAAATATATGTATTATAATATATACCTACCTTTTTTGCAATAAATGCACTCAATAATAGGACAAAAGACAAAGTTGGAAGGTTTTAAGAAAACAGCTGATTTTAATGGTTTGAGAATAATTGTCAAACTAATCCCCACCTTCAACTTATAGTTCTAAAAATGATTCCTAGATGGAGTCATATGATCTAGTTGTAAAACAAAATATTAGATTTTTTGTTTGTATTACAGAGAACTTTGGTAAATTTAAAAAATGCAGTTAGAGAGCTACCGTCATAAAGTAACACTACTAGTCATAAAGTAGCCCCGTTTTACGGTATGTAATAAAAAATAGGGGCATCTATTTAAAATAAGAAAGTTTCTGTCAACTTCCTGTATTTCCGGAAGTGCCGCCATATTGAAAATATTTTTAATCGATAGATCTTGTTGTAAAACAATAATGTGCAAAAAATCTCCGATCTAGATATTGTGGTTCTCTAGAAACTTCTAATGCACGCCCAGCCTGGGACACCCTGTATATCTACTATAATATCCAGTACTCGAAAAGCAATAGATAATTTCCCCTTTTTGTGATATAAAACAATTCAGAATTTTCTCAATTTTTAACATACCTTTTAATATCAAATACATAATATTTTACAAGAACAAATGTATCATGATCAATAGTCCAGTCATCTTAGGGGTTTCACCTCGGAATTCGAGATAACCGGCTGTAAACTCGTATAAATCTTTATTTTAACATCCTAAAACCTGTCTCAAAACCTACATATGATAGCGTATGCGCGACTTTATAACACTTACCTCTTTGTACAATAATTAGAAAATTATTAACAGAAATACTTTAGTTACATTTTAATTATAGTCAGATTTCTACTAATTACCTCCAGCTCCAGAAAATTTGCTGAACACAATATTCTGCAACTGCAAGAATGGTTGTGGTTCGCGATGTGGATGCAGGAAATCAGGGTTGCCGTGCTCTTTAGCTTGTGGCCAGTGTAATGGGCAAGCTTGTCTCAATGCTTCACCCTATCAGAGCGATGTCAATGAAGATGGTACATTTAACCCCGAAATCTTAGAAGACTTGGAGACAAATAATGTCGTTGAAGATGAAAATGAAGAAGAATTTGAAATTCTACAACGACCAGACGACGATGATGAAGAAGAAGAAGAAAACTAAAAATAAGAACATGGCGAGTTCTTTTCGTTTTTATTCAATTTTATGTCTTTTTATTTTTATTTAATTATTATTAATTTTTATATATTAAATTAATATTCTATTTTTATTATTATTTTTATTATTTATATAATTTTTATTAATTATTTAATTTTTTATAGTATATTCAAATCGTATTTTTTAATAGACATATAAATTAAAAATGTATTTCTTGTCTTTTTCTTTACTTAAAATGTAATTAGTGTAAATCTAACTATAATTAAAATGTAATTAAATTATTTCTGTTAATAATTTTCTAATTGTACGAAGATGTAAGTGTTATTAAATGAAGATATACTTAATTTATGAAAAAAAAAATATTATACTTAATATGGTCTTTTATGAAGAAATGTAAATTATTTATAGTTATATATTTTTCAATAATTAACGGACTTTATACGGCGTGTTTTTGACCGAGACTACAGGTTGAACTTGAATGAACATAATGAAAGACTGCGCGCTCACGGCCCTCTATCTCAAAAACGGTTTGAGGTACAAAAAAATTTTTGAAACAAAAGTTGTAGAGAATTTTATCCTCTACAATATTTATAATAAATACAAATAGCGTAAATGTGAAAGGGAACGAGATATTTGCAAAAAATGCGCAAAAATCGATTTTTTCACCTTTGACCTAAGTTATCTACAAGTCGCGCACACGCTATCATTTGTAGGTTTTCAGACATGTTTTAGGATGTTAAAATAAAGGTTTATACGAGTTTACAGCCGGTTATTTTGAATTCCGAGATTCCTACCCTATTTCGACTAAGATGACTGGACTACAATTGCCATTCTAAATAAGAATTTTGTAACCGATAATCAACTTAAATAAAAGAAAATTAAAAATAATCAGAAATTATAATTTATGTATCAAGTAAAATTTGTACTGTTAATTGAACTAATTTTCAAATATTTTAAATTAATTAAACTTGTTTCGAACTATACTTGCTACGAAACGTTGCTCTCATCGTAAAATATTACCACATTTATATTCTGCTTATATTAAGAACTTCTTGTTGGCACTTGGGAATATTTATGGCGGAGTATTAAATTTGAATACCGAAATTTATGTAACTAGCTTGAGTTTTATCAAACGACTTAGGTATATTACCATGCTAATAAGAAACTTAAATTTTAACTAATTTAAAGTTATTCAGCTTCACATTGTAGCCGTTGATATTCTAGCATCAAATATAATATCACATTTACACAATTTAAAGCGATATGATACATACATTATAACATTATAATGAAGAAGATCATAAAATAATTGCTAATTATTTTCAATTTTGTTCTATAAGCGATACCAATTAAACTTTTTCTTACGTAATTGATGGCGCGATTTTTAAATTTGATGTTGCCAATTATGGACATATTCGGCGCCGGGCTAACTAACTGGAATTTCGGAAAAACGGCAACGTCGGAAAAACAAGTATTTTAAGACGTCTGGCTCTTTGATATATCATTTACTATGCTCTCTAGAACAGCATGCGGCCCGTCTGGCTACCAGTAAACGTTGCGTTCCCTACTGCGCATTGAAAGAAGATCCGATATTTTTATTAGTCCTTTAAATTCTAGTATTGAATATAAATCGAACATGTCTCCATAACGCAGTGCGTAGAGTTTCCGACCACGAACCGATGATTCAGAGTTTGAATCCGGGTCAGGGCAAAGACTTTTTTATTTTATTTTCGTTTATATTCTGATAGTAAAGTATTAAATATTTGTTTTTTTAATCGCCAGAATTATTTAATACTTTACTATCAGAATATAAACGAAAATAAAATAAAAAAGTCTTTGCCCTGATCCGGATTCGAACTCTGAATCATCGGTTCGTGGTCAGACATTCTACGCATTGCGCTATGGAGACATGTTCGATTTATATTCAATACTAGAATTTATAGGATTAAATTAATAAACAAATAGAGGATCTTCTTTCGATGCGCAGTAGTGAACACAACGGGTATCGGCAGCCAGACGGGGCCGCATGCTGTTCCAGAGAGCAAAACATATGTATATCAAAGAGCCAGACGTCTTAAAATACTTTCTCGAAAACGTTGCTAGCTATTAAACTAAAACTAAAACACCAAAATAGCTATTTTAACTCCTAATTTAAACTTTAATGTTCCCATTGTCTAGCTATTGTCATATAATAAGCTATATATAGAGACATGAAATATTTTGCATCCCACACATAGCATCTTGCTTGCCTTAATTATTGATTTCGGTGTTTGCAAACGCTGAAATCTTTTATACAAGGCCTAAATAACGCAGATTCCATAACAAGTGGTTTTAAGGAAGCCGTGGAGTTATTTATGTTCCTATCGCGTAAGTGATTAATTATTATATAATATTTAGGTCAGCTAGAAGAGCTGAAGAATGTAGTAAAACCGTTTTGGAAAATTTCAAGTCATTTAAGTTTCTGGGTAGATAGTGATTTAGTACTTGGTGATTTTATTTTGTGAGGATAATTATTGCTTGTTGGCCTGAAGGGTTTATGCTCAAAGATATCCAAATAGGATTTTTTTTTGACAAGCGTTCCTTTGAAAAAATTCTTTTCCTATTTCTCAGAGCTGACAGTGTGGTATATGAAAAACCTATTAGGCAGAAACCTGTCGTTGGAAGTGAAGAAAATGAGTTTGCCTTAATTGGTTATTTTATAGAAAACTAAATATATCTACAAGTCATCGTAATATAAATCAAAGAACTACTTCTTTATATTTCTTGATAAAATAATAAATACTTATTACTTATTAAACTATTGCAGGTAAATTAAATAAAATTAAATAAAGTTATAAATTTAAATAAAGTCCAAAAATTAATGGTGATTTTGAAAATAGCTCCTAACTATCACTAAAAAAAAAATCGCTTTTTATTCAAAATCTGAGCCAGGTAGGTATAAGAAATCCTAATATAGTTTGAAAGGCCATTTAAATCTGCTTCGGCTAATTTAAAATAAATACATATGTTGTATTTGAAATAATGAAGTTTTTATGCAAAATAAATATTTAAAATAGACCAGCAATTTTTGATACCCCTGTATAAATTTAAGGAAGCAATACAATTTTTTAGCAAAGTTTGTTTCTCTGGCTTCAAAGTCAGCACAAGTAATGTACAGGGTGTTGACAAACTTTTTTATTATAGCATGCATTTTAAATATTGTTACGGATTCCGTGGGTCCACTATTTAAACTCACGATAAAATACTTAACGAATTTATTTGTCTCACTCTGTACACACAACTTAAACACAATTTATGCAACTACTATTACTCTAACGGTATTTCGCGGTATTATCAAACTTCAGACTTCAGACTATCTTCAGACTGGTCCAACTGTCAAAGCGCGGGCCTTATATACCTCCTGGCGATGGTTTCTGGAATTTTCTAAAGAATTCTGTAATTTTCTTTTACTTTCATGCAAATTCGCCAGGTTCCTCAATGCACGTTGCGGTTATGTAGCAGCATTTGTAGCAGTAATGCAGTTATGCGACCAGTAATACACCTTGACCGTAACAATATCTTAAAAACCAAACCGTTTAAACATATTAAACCCTTACAATAAATACCTTATTTCCCAAGAATACAAAAATGAAATAAAATACCGGGTGTTTCATAAGAAATAATATAAGTTTGGAATGGATCTCTTAGTTCTGACAAACCTTGTACATTTCAAAATAATTTTAAATTATGCACATTGACTCCCTACATATAAATTTTGTTTCTACATTTTTCCGTTTTCGTATAATCAACCGAGGCGAATAAAGTGCGCCACCCTGTATTTCTGAAGAAATTCTAAGGGTACATACTTATATCATCCCTACGGAGGGAGGTATATTTGATCAAACTTCGACCATGTCTCTAAATATGACATTTAATCTATTTGAAAGCTCTTGAGAATGCTGGCTTATATTTCATATTGGCATTAGCTGATTTGATTTGTGTTTTTTTTTTATTTCAGTTTTATAGACTAGAAATATCAAAGCACTAAAAATAGTATGTTGTTTTATTAGGAGTAAAAATGATACTTTTCTCGGCGAGGCTGTACGTTTGACATTACGGATGAGTCACAAAGAGTCATTTTTACTCCGAA